CACACCATCCAACCTATGGATATTCTTTTAATCCCCTTCCGGTTCATTCCCTCATTCCCTGAGCAACATTCAGATCAAGTCCACCAGAGATGGAAGTAAGAGAAGGAACTGTTGAACCCCGAGGATGCCTCCATGGGTGTCGTTAGGGGGTCCCTGGCAAGTGGCAGGAGCTCCAAAAGTTGCCGCTGATGCACAAGCGAACTAAGCACAAGCGAACTCGCAATATGATCAGGTATGGCCTGATGACTTTCTTTGATAGAGAAACTTTCAGGAGTCTGCACAAGGCTCAAGGGGAGCCATGATACGTGAAGGCGCCACAACACACCTCCTCTTGAGCCATTTCGGGTACGTGAGAAGCCCGAGCCCGGCTTGTCATCGACGCGTCCTCGCTTTCGCACGGGATTCCCTTCCCAAAGCAAAGGAACCTGCGGGGAACTCTGGACGAAATCCGTTTCGCACCAGTTGGGAAAAATGAAAACTGGTGAGTGCTGGGATTATCAAACCCAATTTGTCCATCCACACTATCATTGCCACAAGTCAACCACAAATTGCATGTCCTCAAACTGGAATCTCTTCATTGCCAACCCTGTGCCTCGGGATCTCGGGACTAGGATTGGCGTGGAAAAACCCTCGGGTACCTTTTGTCTAGATGCTCACAATACTGTGGATGGACGAAATCCATTTCGCACCACCTAAGAAACCTCTGGAATGATACGATTCCCCTGTAAATACCGACAAACAATCATTTCAACTACCATGGTTTCTATTTGGTGCGAGTCCGGATTTGGCAACCATCCACAGTATTTTGCAAGCCCGAAAGAAGAATCGGATCCCATAGGACCGACCAGTTTCGGGTCTTCGCTTGTTGATCAGTGAGCTCGCCATAGGCGGCTCACGAGCCCCTTCTTGGACAAGCGGTTGAGCCCTCAAAGTGGTTCCTTTCCTCACTTCATGAGTTGATTGGCCAAAACAAGTCTGCACTTTCTGTTTATCTACCATAAAAGTGACCTCAAACCCAACAATTATTATGTTCATGAACTCAAGAAGTTAGCCTATCCCGTGAACAACTCAGTTGTACAGTTTAGACAGAGAAATAAAAGGTTCACATTTTGCGGTTGCCAACATGGGGGAAAAAAAGGTCATTTCAGGTCGATTCGCTTTGAACAACTGAACAAATCCTGGTGCAGAGGGCCATTTCATTTGCCGAGGCAGTTTTCAGGGGACCCGGCTATGGCGGGCTGAATCCTCTGGCCACTTCCAACCGAGTGGATCGGCCACTAAAAGTCCAAGCATTCGAGGTTTGCCTCTACACTGGCATTCCCAAACTGATCAGAGCCCCAAAACTCAGGGAGTGAAAATCCATTCGTAAACCCTTGGGTAAGGATAGATCGCCTTAGCCCAGAAGGTATGCCATATTTTTTCCCCTGGTGAAAGGTCGGCCCGTGCAAACCGGGGTCCATATCCAAATTCACCGCCGTTGCGGCGAGAGTTGCGCCGCAAAATCCCGGACTTGACAACTTGGAGAGGGGGCTTCTATCATGGGCAATATCCACACCGATGGGCGCCATTAGGCGATTTGCCTAGGGCTTCACCAATCCTAACTGCCTGGAGTCTCCAGGACCTTTAAAAATGCGTCCATGACCCCAGTATTCTTGGCTCATGACCCCGGTCATGGAGACTCCAGGTGCATGTTGCTAAAGACCATCCAGAGTATCAAGCCTTAGTCAGGGGTGGGCTTATCCCTGGCGTCCCGGCGACTCTCTGATTTCCACCCAAACGCCCGTTGGGGAGGCGAGCGGGTTCTTTTCCCCTCGCGGGGCTCGGATCACGTGCGTATGTCTTTCTACATAGGCCGCCGGAGTCGGAAATGCGGGATCGTCGCGGGGCGCCCCAGTTGCCAAGGCTTGCAACCGCGATCCCAAAGGGGGCGAACGGCTTCGGCCAATGCGAACGGATACCATGAGCCATGGCCAAAAATCAACGTGGTCGTGGACCCCTGGCAAATTCACAAAGGAAACATAAATCTTGCAAAAGGCAAAGTGTTGTAGTGTCAACCATTTGAGGATCTCAACATCGCTACAATGTTTTGGCCATGGCACAAACAGTGGTGCGTTACGTCTCTTCCAAGTTCGTGTCCACCGTGTCACCCCAAGGCAAACCCCCTAGCTGTCAACAAAATTGGGACCTCATAGAAAGGCTTGTTCCCTTCTGGTGGTCGTCCAGAATGCGGTACCTGAATCTGATTCTCGCTCCACCGTCGTGCAGGTATCATGAGATGCATCAGCTGGCTCCAGAAGCGAAGATTTGTTCACGAAAACGGGGCCAGCCATTGCTGGCTTGAAGCAATGGCGAGCATAAGCCCCAAAGAAGGCAAAAACTTGAATCTAAGACTCACTTGCCCAAAGCCAGTCGTTCCGTTAGATTTTGGAAGCCCACATACTGTTTCGCACTGAACAACTAAAAGGCGAATCAGGAATGGGTACTGTATTGACTGGGATCGACTGGGAATGAACCCCAGGGACACAATTAAAGGCACCGTTGGGGCGATTTGGTCTATCCGGCTGAAGGGGCAAGCGAGAAAAGCAGAATGCGACTCGCGACTCCGTGTCAGAGGTCCCGGAAATATGCACACCGTAAGGCGCCTTCTTTCAGGGAGCTCAGCGAGAGGTGCTAATGGTTCAGCGGTGCCCTTGTGCAAAGGGTGTCCTTTACGCAGAGTTACATAACCAGTGATAGACATGGTGGTGATATTTCACCTAAACATGTAGGTGCTCATGCAGTACCAGCACCAGATGCAATACCAAGGATAGCACTTGAAAAGGATCTGTGATCCTCTGCTTCACCGCGAATTGTCTCAACACATCAATTCCGGTGCGGCTATTGCGGCTCTGAGACGGAGGTGACTTAAACCCAGAAGCTGTTGGTTTCCCCCAAAAGGGGAACCCCTGGGTTTAAGTCTGCCTTGGGGTAGTCGAAAAATGGAGCCCTGCCAAAGGGATGCAACTTCTTTTGCACAAAGACGAGTGGCCCTTTCCAAGTTGATGTGCACCTTCCAGACTCCAAGTGCGAACAAAAATACAGCAGTGTTGGCTTCAAGGGAAGAAGGACTATAGGGCCTTACAACACCTCTGCGCAGTTTGGACCCAGAAACAAAAAAGGCGATCACCTTTTGGGACATTGACAAACGTGGACCAAAACTGGAAAAACAAAAAGTTGGCTTTGGGCAACTAAGATGATATAATATGACACCAGGTGGTAGAATCGTCTTATTACTGCGAGTTTGAGTTTTAGGCGCTACCCTTCTATCAATTCGCACGTCAGGACCTCTACCCACGCTGCATACGGATTGCCTCCAAGATATCGCGCTCCAGGCTCGGGAAATCCCACCTGGGCTCTGCTGTAGACGCCTTCCCGAGGAATGAGGGGAAACGGAGGCAAATGAGAGAGAGAAATGAAAGCAAGCAAGCAAGCAAGCAAGCAAGCAAGCAAGCAAGCAAGCAAGCAAGCAAGCAAGCAAGCAAGCAAGCAAGCAAGCAAGCAAGCAAGCAAGCAAGCAAGCAATCGCACAAACAGGCGCGCACACACACACACACAGACACACCGTGGAAAGCAAGCAACATTCAAAAACAAACCCCTGCACCTGCTTTTTCTGGCAGTTCATCGTGAGTGCGAGTTGCCCTTGACAAATATAGAGCTGAAGAGAAGTCACCCAGACCAGTGGCCATGGGAAGCTCCCAAGACCCTTGTGGAGGCTTCCATGTTAGCCTGAGGGGAGCAAGCAACTGGTTGCCGGGGGAAGTTCGCCCAGACCTTTAAGGGAAACCAGGCAATCTTTGCTGAGATGCTTCGAGTGCAGCTTCCGGCGGGAAGACACGCAGTAGACTTTGTCAAGGCCGTACTCCAGCTTGAAGTAGTCCTATTCGCCAAAAGCTCCTTTGTACCTTGAGAAGATGTGGGTATGGGTCAAAATATAACCACCAGGGGACCGCAGGTGTTAGCCCTTGGTTCCATTTACCAGGGTTCCATTTTGGGTACCTATTTTTGACCCACAGCCATGTACCTTGATCCCTTTTGCACCCCTGAATCACTCAAGTACATCCTCACAGGTTCTTAAATCCATCCCGTTCCAATGAGGAGGGTTCTGCCTTCCTCCAGGATTGCCCCCAACAACTTTTGTGCTCCTGTCAGTTTCCTTGCGAGCATTTCGTTGCCGTTATTGGCAAAGAAAACGCTTCTCCAAACGTTAACAGCAGAAAGGAGGAATCCACCGGATTCGAGCAAAGCCAGCCCCAAACTGACTGGATATGTTGGCCAAACCTCTGTGCTTTGATCAAGTTGGCTGGTTTGCTTGCATGGTCGAGCCCAAATCATCATGGCATAGCACACAGATCCTTACATTATACACCTGAACATTGCCTTGTAAATGGTGGTTTCCCTATTTTGGTGGAAAAAGCCGTGATTCAAATGGGCAAAATGTATCTTTTCAGGAGCCCTGATTAGCAAGAAAGGAGTGAGCCCCGAAACCACGCAAAGGGCCAACCAACCAGCTTTGCCCATTGTCTTGGGCCTGTCCCATAGCTGACCTTGGTCTACCCGAAATGGTCTTGATTCTGCCCATCTCTGTGTATCCGTGTTTATATATATATATGTGTGATTCGTCTTTGTGTTTGTGTGATGTGTAATTTGGGATGTGTGTTGTGTGTGTAATTTCGTGTTGAGGTGTGTGTTGTGCTTGCGTGTTGTGTTTGTGTATGTGTATTTGTGTGGGCTTCTGTGCGCACGTTCTTGAAGGCACCGTTTTCAGGTCGGGTTATCCGGAGACTAAAGCAACAGGCACCACCTCAAGTCTCCATGACCCTTTCGAAAGGGGGCTACGACCCTTTAGGAGTCTCCGTCTCTGTTGACACGAAAAGTCCTTGATGCATCCCAAAGTTTCCGCTGTTACCTTGTGCTTCTCTTCCTGGCACGGACCGACGCACGGACCATCCAATTCCAGCTGACTACCTGGAAAAAACATGAAAAACAATTTTGTCGTGATACGTTCCCTTTGAAACCAACAAGGTAAAATCAAAGTAAACACGTGCTTAACCCAATGGAAGGGGGGGTGTAAAGAGGGTCCATAATTAAAACCAACAAGGGAAACTAAAACATTTTCATTTCAGCAAATGCAAGTAACCCCTACCCAAGGGCTCCATCTTGCAGCTCCAAATGGTCGAAAGCTGTGATCCTTCCTGCCGCATTGGGCCGGACTCATCACAAGGCTAGAACCATGATGGGATCTCCGGGGAAACAAAAAGGAACACCAACATTTTTGGGGCACCCCTATCTTCACACATTCCCATATGCCCCAAAAATAATTCAGGCTCGGAACAGGGAACTCCTGATGCCTGCAAATCCTGGGGTCTGAAGATAAAACTCACCCTCACCTCACCGTTTTCATGGATTGGACCGGAACTTTCCCAGCTTAGGAAGCCTTCAATTCAGTTGCACCAAAACCCATGGCAACTCAGTTGATCAAACTTTCACCCCCTCGGCGGGGTTTATTGCCGGCGAAAGGGACACCAACCCGCTAAACCCAGTTGATTTCCCGAGCCGGAACCGTGAAGTCTCGGTGCCAGAACACTGGTCAACCTGCTCATATTATCCGGTGACCCAACCACAGACGCTCGCCTCCCAGTCGCCTTCTGAATCCCAAGCTCCGGGCAAAGGATCCGATTCGCGCCGATAGCTCCCAGGGCCCCCAGATGTCTCCCAGGACTTCGAGACTGGCCGGCCCCAGTGGGCAGCAAGTTGGGCCCTGGAAATCTCCCGACGACCTCCGTGCGCCCCGGCTTGCGAGCCGCTTCTTTTTGTTTGGGGTGTGTGTTTGGCCGCGGAGATCCGCCTTTCGAAAGCCCGGAGGTCCGCCTCGAATTGTTTTTTGCCCTGGGGCTGCCCAGTACCGGCAACCGTTACACCCCTTGTGCCGGTGGCTGCAAAGCAAACCAAAAAAACAACCACCATTTGGGGGGGTCCCCTGAAAGACACAACACCCTTGTGGCTCAGAAGTACGCTCAACCCCAACTTGCCCGGCAGAGTTTACGCCTTTGTGAGGTCCCGGTCATCGTCATAGGACTCCTCCTCTTTCAGGATCTCAGACTGGATGTCCACGTCCACCTTGTTCCTGGCAACTTGGCTCTCCCAGTGGATCCACTTACCTGAGTCACTTGCTCAAAACCCGGTATTAAAATGGTTGACCCAGAAGCATGTAAGGACATACGAAGGCGGCCGCAACTATTTATGGCTTTGTCCCTTACTAACCTTCATCTACCCAGGTGTTGATTCCGGCTCACCCAGTGTCGTGAGTAACCAAGAGAAACACCCATTAAAAGCCAAGGACATAGTGGTAAATGGGATTCACTGCGTAAGACACATAGTTTTAGGTGGGGGCTGTTCTAAAAAAACTCTTTGTCTTGAACCGCCATTCCTCCCGAAACAAACACTTACATTCGCGAACCTTTGGCGAAATCATCGCCGTGAGAAAGTCGCAACTGTTCCGCAACAAGCTCGTGCAAGACACGCTCCAGCTGGAAAGCCGCAACTGTTCAGTATCAAGTCCGTTTCGCAGCATTCAGCCCCCAACTACGAGAACAAAACCGGCACGCAAGGTGTGAAATTGTGACCTCGCATGTCACGAATTAACAATATAACCTTTACACAATACGTTGAACACATCATGAGCTTTACTTTCGCAACTCCATCGCGAATCTTGAGGGAGCTACTGCAACCAATACCGATAATACGACACATACCGATGATCGCCGAATGCTAACTCGTTACAAACATCTTTATAGACAACACCAATCCAAAAAACATTAATCTTCAAACTCAATGTATCATGTATGTGTATATACAGTGTATATCTATGCATATCCGTTTGTCTGTGTATGCTTCACACAGAGTTGAGCGGGCCAACCGGGTCCTTCTTGCCCGCCGAATGGTTTGGTTAGCGGGCTGTCACCCACCGTGGGTTGTGAGGCTTCCACCTAACTTATAACCCCTTGTGTGAGCAAAAAAAACAGCAGCCGAGTTGGTAAAGTGGAGGCAGGCTAATGTGCATCAGGAGTGAATCGCAGTTGCTGAATCGCATGCAGTTGCTGAATCGGGCTTTAACTTCCATTTGGTTAAGCCCCCAGAAAAAGATAAATCATATTTCCAGTAGTGATGAATTCCTCGAAAAAACCAACAAGGGGGGGAAACATCTTAAGCATATGGAGGATAATCAATAAACCAACCAAGGGCTGCTCAACCATATTCAAACACCGCTCCCCGTCCACGGCAACTGCGACCGGCCTGACCATGAAGAATGGTACCTGCCGGTTGCAACTCATTTCGCTGCATTGGCCGAAAGGTGCGTCTGTTTTGAGGGTACCACTTTTTTGGGGTTTCAAAGGAAAACCAAAATGACAACCAGAACATGGTGGTTGTCACAACCACGATGTTGGGGGTCCCCTAAAGAGACAGACCCAAAAAAAGGTCCGAGCTTGTAGTTTATCCCCAACATGGGTGCGTCTTTTTGAGGGTACCCCTTTTGGTAGATTTTAGGGGGAAACCAAGAGAAAAAAAGAAGCCACTTTGGGGCTCCCCGAAAAGGAAACATACACACGAAATGTACGTCTCAACTACATCGACCGCCCCCCTCCATCCCCAAAAAAACACTGAGAACATACTCGGAAAGGCAAAAGGTGGTTTGCATTGGTTGTTTGGGGGTTAGGCAGGAGGCGGTTGCCCATTTACCCCCTACAAGAACCAGCGGTGCAGATCCAAATCCGCACCACCAAATCCAAGCCAACTAAGCACCTGAACATTCAAACATGGCATTTCTAAACTAGGTCCTCCAGTCGAGAGGTTTTTTGAGGCTACCATTTTTTTTCTTCTGTAGTCTATTTTTGGTAGGGGAACCCTCCCCCAAAAAAGTTGGTAAAAGGGCACTATTGGGGGACCTAGTAGAGGAATCTTGGTTTGGGATCGGATTTCGTGAAAGAGTTGGGCGCTTTGGTGATCCGGCGCAGTTTCTCGTACTGCCCACGCAAGAGATGTGCATCCAAGCCTAAACCTTGGCTAGTCTCCTGACGCACTTGTCCAGGTCTGGCGGAGCCCTTGTTGCAGTCTGGCCCTTCAGATCCAGTATTTCGAAGCTCTGCATCACGCGGAAGTGTGGAAATTCGCTCCGGGCGGCCCCGCGTAGCAGCACAACCCGCTGCTGCAATTTGCGCAGAGCGGACATCGCTGCATCCGGGGAGTGTAATGCAACCTGGTCCTCACCCCTCAGGCAGTGCAGTCTGCCAGCACGGCACAGAGACGAGGTGCGCCGTGTAAGTCTGCAGGCGCATGACTTGAGCTTGGCCAGGGTTGCCCACGAACAAGGTGAGTTGCCTCAAGGGAAACCCTTCCAAACCCCAAACCCGCAGACTTCCGCGGGCGACAAACACGTTCTGTTTTCAGCTGTAGGCGCAAACAAATCCCGTCCCCTTCATAAGTCGAATTCTAGCTCTGGGACAAGTCTGGGGTCTCATACCGCATGCATTCATTTGATACTGCAGGAACAGAAGCCTTGAACTTGTTCGGCCAAAATGTTTGCGTCCAAGCCCAAGTCTTCCCACTGGGGAACCGTTACAACCCCGAACCCAGGATTGGGCAAAAAACTGACTTGTCTTACAACCCCCAACTAAAAATGGGCAGGGACAACAAAAACCTAGGGGGTCTTGTTCACTTTGTGCGAAAAGGAGTGCGGGTTGCCTTGTCTAAAGTGATAAGCTTACTCTCCCAATGATCAACACAAAACCGTAACAAGCGCAATAATTACATTCGTTTGAGCACACAACTCGCTGATGTTTGTGTCGAGTAGCATGGGCTTTACTCTATAGAAGTGACTTCCTGAGTGGATTGGCCAAACAAAGTATTTACTTTTTGTTTCCCACTAAAATGGGCTTGCCGACAAGTACAAAAGTCCATGAACTCAAGAAGTGAACCATATCCACTATAGTAAACAAACAAGTAGAACCACCTACTTCCAAGGGCCAATGAGAAGCAGATTTGGGTGCTACTCAATCAACTGATTCTCAATTTGGCCAGCTGGACGTCTTCAGGCTAATGTTTGTGGGAGACATGTGGGAGACAAGCAACAACACCGACATTACCAACAAAACAAACACAAACACATCTAAACTCTAAGCCACAAATCACAAAGCACGTGAACTCCCAAAACAAATCAAATCAAATCCAAAAGCAACATTGAGCAACAATCCATCCACTAAATACGGATACGCTACCCCATCTATCCATGACGACCCCCGAAAAGGTGGTTGCCCGTTTGGTTTTCTTCAAACAACGAGTCTCCGTCTGTCCCTTTAAATTCGGGGTCATGTGCTCTGTTTCTTTTGAGTAATGCCCCCCATGTTCCAAGGGTCAGAAAGCAAAAACAACTCCAAGTATCCTAAAAGGACAACCCTGACCCTCAAACTACCCGTCAAACCGTTTGTATTCCCAAAAATGGGGCTTCAGAACCAACAAGAAAAGGCGAGTGACCAGCCCCCCCCCAAAGCGAGTGACCATTTTCCTTCAGACCCGGGTATTCCCCAAAATGGGGAGTGGGTTTTCCTTCAGAACCCAACCGAAACGGAAAAAAAGGGCGAGTCCCCAGCCCCCCCCCCAAAGCGAACGCGCGCGCCCTCCCAGCCCTCAGCGCCCCCTTGTGGTCGCCTTGACGCGTTTCAGCTCCTCCACCAGCATCAGCTCGGCCTCGGTGAAGCGCGAGGAGGTGACCAGCAGCACCACGTCGTAGTAGCGGATGCCCATACGCCTCCGGGGAGGTGGGGGTGGCTGAAGGATGGGCGGGATGGGGGGGTGGGGGTGGCTAGGGGGGGTGGGTGGCTGGGTGGCTGGGTGGGTGGGTGGGTGGGGGGGTGGTGGAGGTGAGGACTGGACCCTCAAAAAGTCTTTGGGGCAATGGCCGAGTTTGAAGGGTTGTTTGCGGGTGCAGGCAGCGATTTGGGAAGTTCAACAGGGTTGCAACAAGCATAGGGTCAGCAAAAATAGGGTTACCAACAAAATGAGCAGCTCAAACATGGGTTGCTAAGAATTGGTGCGCTACTCAGAGGAAACATGGGCCCCCAAAACACGACAGACTTCGGACGAGTCTTTCCTCACAGATTTGCCTGAAGCTGGTTTCTGAGCAAAACATCGAGGCGTTACCGAAAAGTGGCCACTAAAACTGGAGACCTAGGGTCCAGTGTATTCAAATGCAAATCTTCTTGGCTCATATCTATCAAAGACCACAGTGACACTCCCAAAACTCAAACATCTGTGGGCATGCCTCGGATTTGGGTGGTCTGTGTCCTGTTGGTTTCCTTTTCAGAACTACATCCGAGGTTCACAAACTTGAGACACGCGTGCTGTTTTTGGGCGACATGTTCAACGGGCTTGTGCCCACCCATGGGGGAGTGCCCGTGGGTGATCCCTCTGCACACAGTACGGGCTGGGCAAGCCCTTCATTGCCACAGTTCCAGGGCTACCTTCCATTTCCATTCTTTCCAGGAATCCGAATCTTTTCAGGAAGCCATCAAAACCCATAAGTTTTAACGGAACCGATTTTTTCGCTGAAGAGCGATGGTTGAAAAGAAGGGTTGAAGGAATCAACCCAAAACCCAAAGCCCTAGAGTTCGAAGGCTTGGGATCAACCTCATTGCCATGCCCACAGTTTTCCTCCGTGTTCTGAAACCGAAGCTTCGGCCACCCATTTCGGAGGCTCTTGGAAGAACGGCCGCATCTTGGAGATGGAGAAGTGGCCAGGGTGGGATTTTTTGGGTTCCCCCCCCAAAAACACGGCGTCCCCATCCTCAGATTCCCCAAAAGAGTCACCCCTTGAAGGTGGCTCACCACCTAGCGGGACCCCGGGCTTGCAGCGGGGAGAAAGACTACAGGTTCTTCCGAGGGTTAATCTTTGCCGTTCTCTGAAAACAAATCCAGGTTGAGAAATCCTGGCCCCAAGCTGGGAGTTGGCTTCCGGTGTAAACCAAACACAAAAAGGCCGCCTGGGCCCAAAAAACTACCCTGCACACTTGGAATGCACCTGATGGAAAGGGAGCCAAGCAAGAAACCAACCGGGGGTTCCGAGGCTGGGGATATGACCTGGGCTTATGGCTGAGGTTTCTTGTGAAATCGCGCCCATGGCCTTTTGGACAAATGGCCCTGGTAGATGGGGCGTAAAACCAGTCTAAACCAGTGGAACCCTTTTTTGATCAAGCTCGCCGATCAAAAGAACACCTACTGTGGAGGGCCGAAATCCTGCAAACCCTGGAATGATTCGATTCCCCCGTAAATACCGTAGCAACCAATGGCTTCAACCATGGAATCCAAGTGCTGCGAACGGATTTCGTCCATCCACAGCATGGTCCACCCCCATGCACCCCCGACTCGCACGCCTCACGTAGGTGGCCTGGGGACAGTTGGGCGTGCCAGCCCCGGGCAGGTCCCAGATCGCCACGTCCAAGGCGATGCCCGCCACGTGCTCCGTGTCCACCTCTGGCTTGCTCTTCCTTTGTTCCCTCCCAAAAAGTGGTTTGAGTCCCCACTCAAGGGGGCACTTCATCAACTGGGGTGTCTGAATCTCGGTTGCTTTCTGCTCCCCGGCGAAAAGTGAATAACTTGTTGTGGCTTTATTCGGAACACCCATTAGTTGGCAAAACGTTGCAGTCCTAGCATCCCTTGGCAAAATGCACCAAAGGGGAGAGGAGATTCCTCTGAACAGGATAAGTCACCTGCATTCGGCCGGGCATGTCTTGCCAAAACAAACACTCCGATGCCCAGTGGCCATGGGAAAAAAGGGAATCCTTCGTTGGTTGGTTGAGGGTAAAGGGGGGACCTTCCCCAAAAAAAGGGGGAAAACGGGCGCCACTGGGCAACTAGGAACATGGGTGTTTTTGGGGTGAACATGTCAATCTGCAGGCTCTGGCACCCTCTGAATACATCGAAGAACCATCTGCTTTGCCGAAAGATCCTGTAAATGAGCTTGCCCAAAGGTACCCAATACTGGGGTGCTCTTTTTTCCCTGAGCGAAGGTTGTTAGATCTCTTGTAGGTTTAATGGAAATTATGTTTGCTTCCAAAAGGTGTATAAGGCCCACGGCGCGTCTTGTCACCACTGAAACGTGATACCCACAGAGGGGCCATCCAGTCACGCCAAAGACCAGACAAGCCCCTAAAAGGTTTTGCTTGGCCCAAGTCTGCACGCAAGCAAGATCATGTTCAGATGATTCATGTTGCACCGCAAAGTACAAGGTAGTTCTGGAGGAGACCCCAATATGAAATTTGGCGTTTGGGGTTCATTGGAATGGGCAGGACACCGCACACAAACACCAACACATTCTAACACGTGGTTTAAAGAGCTTGGACATGCTTGATCCGCTGGCTTGATATTGGGGACCCCCGCTCCTAGATGATGAGCAAAAGAAAGCCAAAAGGAAACCAAAAGTAAAGTGACTATGAATTTTACAAGGAACCCCACATCCGAAAATAAATGATGTCCGCCAAAGCTTTGGTGCCCTATTGAAATTCTGAGCCAAAGCCCAACGTCAGTTTCCTCAAGGCTGGGAATCTTGATTTTCCACCGAAATCGGTTCACCCAAAAAGCGATCAAAGTTTTTTCCAGGCCCCCCTCCCCTTTGACATGCGGGTGTGTGTTTTTGCTCTTTGTTTGTGGTACCTCTGCTTTTCTGTGTGTGTCTCAGTTGTTTTTGTCTAATTACGGGAAAGCAACAGAAACTTAAAAGGACACCCCACATATTATGTTCTTCCTACGGTGCCCAGTGAAGGCTCCAAAAGATTTCAGCCGGGAAGGCAAACCGAGTACCCAAAAGCGGCTCACCACCCTCAAAACAGCAAGAAACAAACAAAGACTGTGAATTTGGTTTGATTCCTGGAAGTCAGAAGCAACAAACCCACCTTGGTGATCCGCAAGGATAGGATTCCAATCCTCCCCTAGCCGCATCAGTTTTCGCGCAACAGTTTGATGGGCTTCGGAAGGGAATGGAGAGGTGGTTGGACCGCATGAGTTTCGTGTCGGTGCGCTTTGATTGCCTGTTTCCCTTCTGGTGATTAGGCTTTATCACCTAAAACCACAAGTAACTCGAGGGATCTGCGGATGGGCAAAATCCCTTCGTAGCTGGGAGGCGGGTTATCCCAGTACTCAAATCTGGCTTCGTCCATCCCAACTGATCATCGGCGTGGAGTTAACTTTGCTTTTGCAGCCCCCGGCAAAAAATGAACAGAACCAAACAACCTAAAGACCTAAACACATGCCAAGAACAGTAATTAAAGCTTATGACACCCTTTGTGGGGTTCATGCCATTGGACGGGGCCAACAACAAGCCCTTGTTGTTTGCCAGTAAATGTCCAATCCCTAGAAGTGACCTCCATTTGCGAACACGTCCCCCGCAAACAATTAAGCAAACATCCTGCGTTAAATTCCCTTTAACACCAGGGGAAGCCAAGAAATATTCATTTACCGCAACTAGACGAGACCGTCAAAGGGCCTAAAGTCCGTTTCACGGAACTCAGGCGTTTTTTGTTTCCTCCATTTGCTTAAGCCCTGGTGATTCGAAGAGAAACAAGAACAAACAAATACACCCCCGTTTGCTGGTACGCCCCCCGAAAAAGATTAAACAAAACATGTCCAGTAGTGATATAGATTCCCTTTAAAACCAACAGGGGGAACAAAAAACAACATCTTAAGTAAATGCAAGCAGTGGCCCTTTTTGGCTCCTGAAAGGCACCGAGCTCAAGGGGCCGCCCGAAGCCTGGGGCCCCACCTCCAGCACGGAGTCATCCTCCAGGCGTACCTTCGTGGCCTCGTGCTTCGCGTGAGACGGGCCCTTGGCGTGCTTCACCTGTGAATCGGCGCCGAGGAATCAAAACCAGAGAATCAGTCAACCAATATTCAACCAGTTTAGGTGAGCCCATGAAATGAGTTCAAGAAGAGTTTCGGTCTCTCAGGACAATCATCGAAAACGCGGAAAGAAGCTTATAGAAGATCGAGCCCATTTTGGGGCGTCAAAAAAATGGGGAGACTTGCTCATAACCTGGGGAACCACCTCTAAAATTATGATATTTATATTACCAGTATGAGAAAGATTTTCGGCAGAGCGGTATCTTATTTGGGTTTTTGAGGAACCGTGTGAAGATGTAGTTGAATGTTCTGTGTCAGATGAAAACCAGTCGCGCCTATCAGCCCCCGTGTCCTTCGGGAAGCTTTCACGGCCGGACACTCCCGCTATCAATCTGCAAGGTTGAATTTGGGGCTCCCCAAAATGAGAGGATACTATACAAAGAAACCTTCATCATGGGTGAAACCAACCTTGGTGCGGTCGCTAGTTCCACAGAACTATCAAGGCCAATTCACTCAGGGTTGCTGCGAAGAGGGCAAGGAAAAAATGCATGATGTTTCCCGTCAAGAAGATCAAAATGAAGACCTAGAGGCCTAACTTACTTGCCCAAAGGATCGTTTTGATTAAAGGTGATCACCTTTTGGACATCACTGAATCTGGTCATGTGACCAAAACCGTAAAAGGCCAGGTGCTTAGCTAGGTCCTCCGGTGAGGTTTGAATAAGGATACCAACGTCTCTGTCAATTTTAGTAGGGGATCCCTCCCCCAAAAAAGAAACGGTAAAAAGGGCACTGGGGATGGCTAGCGAGCAAATCAAAACATGGCGTTCGCTTCCCAGGGTTGGCCACCCGACAGTACACGTCTCGAAAGGCAATCTGGATGGCTTGCCCTTCACGAGCGAGTGTTTCACGTGCTCCCATGCAACCATCAGTTGGGTGTGGCTCTTTGTCTAGTGACTTCCGTGTTTGCGGGTTTTTTAACGGGGGGAAACAAACACCTCACCATGTTGTTGTTTTCCCAAAAGTGTTTGAATGCCAAAGAGCAGGCAAAATTTGATGGAATCTGGGACCCTCATTGCAAGAGTTTGTGTCAACTTCATCATGAAATGGTCCACAAATGAGGAGGCGTGTGATGTTGATCCCAAATGAATAAACTTCATTTGTTGGGGTGTTCCCCCCAAAAGTGGTCTGAACCGCCACTAAAACGGGACAACCCCCCCCACCAGTTCTGCTTAGATCCGGGAGTCGCGTTAACCCCTATGGACAAATTGAGGAGCCAAGGAGAGGATTCAAGTTTGCCGTTTGGGAAACGACACCCGGTGATTCCATTTATCATTTTGCAGGTCACCAAGGGAACCAGCCCGGAAAATTACGAAGGAGTGTGACTGAGAGCCACTGGCAAAAGGAAGCCCAAAATCCCTTGTTTGGGGTCCGGAATTTCTTTGAGGCATATCCTCAAACAAAAATTAAACTTGACCACTTTGCCCTGCGAAAAGTTGAGATTGCTGGTGGAAAGGACAAACCTGCGGAACCCCCAAAAGGGAAACAGTGAAGGGGCAGCGCTCCGTCGATACGCTGATCCTGGACAGGGGCGAGCTGTGAACTTCCATACGTCCCGGGGCCCCGCATTCATTTCGATGGCTTGGTTGCTGTTGCCCCCCTGCAAAAAGTTCAACGTTTTTGGGGTTTTGTGGAAAACACCCCAATTTTTCAACCAAATAATTAAAGTCTACAGATCCAACCCAATAGCAGTCAAGGATTCGCCTCCAACACTTCCCCGCAGGAGGACACGCCGTCCGGCAGGGTCAAGACCACGCGGTCCTTGCGCCGCAGCTTCTCCCCCTCCTGCACTCTCGGCGATGCGCTGGCGATGTCGGGGTCCCGGGCTTGTTTCACCATCGTTTTTGTAGTGTGTGTTTATGCCCTTCACTTACAATCCAATGGATTGGCAAGCAACTACAAATCCTAAGTTTCTGGTTGCCGCTAAAATGGTTCTAGGGGTGAATGCTTCATTATTTTCAACCATCGTTCTTTTCCAAAACCGTTTCCCCTGGTGTTTTGATGGTTGCCTGAAAAGGAGGATCCGGGGAAGCTACACCTAGAACTAATGAAAGCCTCGCATTTATTAAAAGCACTTTGCTGATAGGGGAGTGTCCCTGCCTGTAGTTGCGAATCATTTTGTTTGGAGACACCTATTGATAAAGTGGAGTTCAAAGATCCGGGGTTTACATTATTGTCAAAAACAATTTCCAGTTGGCTTCCCTTTAAAGGAATTGGAACTAGGATTGTTTTTTTAACACATCTGGCCCAATACTCGCTTGTCGGTAAAGACTTCACGCGACCAACCACCACTTTTGCGGGGGGGCGTGGCAACCATTGGGTAATTTAGGGTTGCCTTGTTTGAAGGAGCTTCGCACATTGACACAGCCTAATGCTCACACACACACACACTTTAGAGGCAACTCCCCATTATTCCTAGAAATCATTGCTCATCAAAGATTGCAAACATCGGAGACAGGTGTTTGTGTGTGTGTGTGTGTCGCTAGGGTTTGTCTCAATAGAATCAGGCAAAGAAAAGTGGGTTTCCTTGTGGCGTCCCTTTCAACCAACCCAAAATGGTACCGTACCTCAACAAAACACACCTGTTTCTCAACATTGGAACTGCAAGCAATGTTCGGGAAAGCCTCCCGTGTTGGGTTCTGACTTGGACTCAAATTTATTGGGTCGCATTTTTGTCCGTGCTCGAAAACCTTAGGGACAACCTTCTCATAGAAGCCAGCCAAAACAAATGATGTTTCTACATACCAACCCGAAAAACCGGGTCTGAAGTATCGATTTGCATGGGAAAAGAAAAACGACTTGGCACACATCTCTTTGCTTGATTTTACATGAAAATCCGTCAAAAGGATGGGATAGCAGGAGTTTCACCTAAACTGGGTCCTTGCCACCATTTGGGTCCTCGCTGCTTAACCCAAACCTGAAACACCGGCTGGAAGTGAGTCAATCGACCCTTGCCAGGATCAAACATGGACAAGTTCTGGATCTCTGGTTGCATTCTCAACAGTCGAGGAAGGTCTTTCAGTTTCCTCCCCGTTCACCAATCCGCTCACCAATCTCTAGGAGCTTGGCTTCCTTTTGGTTGCCCCGTGAATCTTAGGGACGCGACATGGAGATCAGAATTCGGTGACATGTCAGCCACTTGCCAGGTCCCTCTTAGGCTGGCTCCTTTGATTCATTAACCCTGTTTTCAAGCAGGTGACCCACATGCTCGGAGCCAGGAGTCAAAAACTCATTCATATTTAGCTCAATCACAAAAGAAATCTCCGAACCTATTTCCTGGTTTGGTCTCATCCACGAACTGGTACGTGAATGCTGGAGCGCAAATCAATCGGTCTGCTCCAATTCCAGACCAACCACTATGATGTTGTTAGTTGCCCGCTTCTTCAATCCCAGCGGAACAAAACACAACATGATTTCCCCTTACACAGTTCATTGTGTGTTTTCGGTCGATGAAAAAGACAGAGGCCCCACTACTTCATTTTTACTTTCCAGAATGTTGCTTATTCCGGTGGACCTCGTTTCAATAAAAGGGAGACGGATACCCGGGGAATTCAAGCGGGGCCCGCTTCGCCACCTTCGCCCGCGCAAAGCCACGTCGCCCGGAGATCCGAGACGGATCCGGTCGCCCGGATCTCCTGGAGCCGGCGGTAGAAGCGCTGGTTAAAGAGCCCCTCCTCGGCTTTGAAGTTGTACATCATGGGCTCCAGCGTGGTCTCCTGGGAAGCAGCTCATTTTGGAACCTCATGGGGTGCCTTGTTTTTGGAAGTTGGTGCACTTGTTCGGGGTTGGTTGAAAGGGACACCAAGGAAAACCCAGCATTTTTGGGGTGATACAACCTCAAAGACACCACATCAGGTTGAAGCCAAAAGCTGAGAGACGGTCGATTCAATCTTTGGGCTTTTGTGAGGTTCATCTTAAATATACGGCCAAGTGAGTGAGCTGTTGGCAACCTGGAATATAGCCCTGGGATATAACTCAAGTAGCCAACGACTTGCTAACTTGGCCAAGCATCCAAGTGGTCCTTAGGAATCAGCCCCCAGAAATCGAGGCCTGTCTCCTGGTTTGTCAGGAAAAAATGGATTTCCTTCGGGTCGTTGCCGTTTTGGTCGTGACTGCAGGTGTAGAAAACTAGTGAAAGAGGGCTCTTGAACAGCGGCAAGGGAAAGATGCCCCCGGGCACCCTTCGATTCGTTGTCCGGACCCGCCCCCTTCTTGCAACAACCTTCGACACGCAAGAAGATAAGTTGCCTTGGATTGCCATATGCTTGGCGTATTTTTGTTATTGTTTTTTTAAGACTGCTATCTAGTGGTTAAAAGGGGTTCTAGCCCTTTCATGCACGGCTCTAGCAGCCTGATTTTGTACGGTTGATAAACCAAGTTGGTCCTCGAAAGGGCTTTAGCCTGCTCCATGGTGACACCAATGGTACTACAATTACCAACTCCTGTCAGGTTTGTTTGTTTGTTTGTTTGTTTGTTTGTTTGCTTATACCACTTTGGTTGGTTTTAACATGTTTCGGGGTCCCCGTCTTTTGACACATACCCATAGCTCTGATTGCCCTTGAGAGAAGGGTTTTTTGTAGGAAGAACTGCCTGCGCTTGCGCCTCAAATCTTCATTCAAAAACTGCTGTCAGCAAACTGTCAATTGGTTTTGATAGGTTTGGAGGTGTTCTGGGGTGGTGTCCCCTTTACCCGCAAGAACCAGGGGTTCCAATCCCCAAACCAATCCAAGCCATTGACTGAGGGGTTGCCTGACCGAAGCTAACGCAAAATAAAGTTTAACCATGCGGAGAACAATCGAGGCTGAGTCAACATTCCCATGGTAGTCGTCTCAGAAGATTTGGAGTTGCGGACAAGATAGGTAGGGGCTCGCAACACTTCCGTAAACACTAGGATGTCTAAAAAAGCTGTCATTTCAATATGATACTATCATGCTTTGACCATGGCTCCCCCAACGTCTAGCTTTCCAAGATGAAGAAAACATGGCCATCTTCTTAAATTGAGGCGGCCAAGGCTGTCGAACAAGTCGTGCGTCCAATACATATACATATTAATAATATTAATAAATTCATCCTACTATGTTCCTATGAATAATGGAAATAAAGCACCCATAAGTAATAATAACGGTTAAACATAATCATAAGAACACGGTTTTGTATATATACATATATATATATATATATGCTCGTTTGCTGAACAAAAAGGAACACACGACAAAACACAAACCGAGAAGGGGTGCCGGAAATATCGGGTTTGCGTCCCTAGGTCCTGAACCGCAGTTTGAGGCAGTGTGGGGTTGTGTGTGTGTGTGTGTTCTTAGGGTACCCCTAAAAATTATTGTTTTAAAGGGAAACCAGGGGCAACCGAAATCTTGGGGTACCCCTAATTTGACACCTACGCATTTCCCACAGGTTCCACAACCAAACATCCCAGTTGCCGCCATAAGTATCCAGTCAAATGCCATTTCAGTTGTTGAAGGGTGGTTGCTTGGTTTCCTGCTCTCACCGCGACCATCCGCAAAGGAAAGCCAACTGGTTGTGTCTTAAAATAGGGGGTTGTTTGGTGTCCCTAGTACCCTCCAAAATTGCCACACCCAAATGGGTACGGCCAAGTTAAACTTCCAGACCGCAGGTTTTAGTCCTTTCCATTTAGGGCAACTCATTTTGGGCTTACCCCTATTTTTGACCCACACTCAATGGTTGTGTCTTCTTTAGGAACCGGACCCCACCCCCCCACGCCCAAGCAAAAAACCCGGAGGTCGTTAAATTCACGAAAACACCCAAAAAAGGGGGGGGCACAGTACCGAACCGAATGCTTTCAGAGGCCCCCCGGCCTGAATGCCGGTCTCGGCTGCCTCTGAGTCCGTGTCCCTGAGCTTCCGCCTGGTATGTGGTCATGTCCCCCCCCCCCCTCAAAAAATATATTTCAAAAACAGAACCCCCCCCAAAACACATTACCCCCCCCCCCCCCCAAAACCCCCCCAACAAAAAAAAAACAACAAAAACTTTAGCCCCCCCCCCCCCCCCCCAAACCCCCCCCAAAAAAAAACACATTAGCCCCCCAAAAAAAACAGAAAACAGAAGACAACGAACATCAACAACAAGCTGCCGGGTTTCGCCATGCCTTGGGTGTCTCGTCTTTTGTCGAGGGAAACCAAAGCGAAAACCGAAATCCGCGTTGGGGAGTCCAACCTAAAAGGCACGGCCAGTGGTTGTCAAAGGGCACAAAAAAAACACCTCCCCACATGATGGATCTTCCATGATCTTCCAGTTTTATGGGTGAACTATGCGATCGATTCGGAATTCGGAGGAAAGGTCGAGCTATTGTTTCATCCGTCTAGGTCCTTGGTCCTTGGGGGTCCAATTCTTATTTTAGGTTCTGGACTTGTAATGTGCAAATGTCAGTGCCGGGAAGGCTCGGCTTAAAAGGCTCTTGCGCCTGGGTATCTTACAAACACTGCTTGCAAGCCCCGTGCATCAGCTCATTGTTCAGGAATTCTTCAGGAGAAACAGGTTACCAGGTTAAAGCTGGCAATCAGTGGGAGGATTCATTACTGCCTGGTTGATTCGTTCATTCATAAGGGAACTCCTTTTGCGGTATGTTCAGGTTTTCATAAAGAACATCTAGTGTTTGGTAAAACAATCATCTGCAAAGTCTCTCAAAGCCATTTCTGGCCCCCCATAGGATGTGGATGGACGAAATCCATTTCGCACCACCTAGCATTCCCTGAAATAATGATTCGCCTGTAAATACCAACAAACAATTGGTTTCCCATGTTTCAAAGTGGTGCAGGATTTTGTGCATCCACAGTAGGCGCAAGTAGCCAGGTGGATTCATCCCGTCCGTACACTTGATGGCCACTCAAGCCGCCCAAGTGAAAACTTGAGAGCAAACTGATGAGCTGGCCTCAAAACAAGCTTCACCAGGAACATTGCGCTGCATGGAGGTTTTCTTCCACTTGTATCAGGGGTACATACCGACCTACATCTGTCCAATTCTTGGCATGTGAGTAATCTGTCTTGGTTTCTGCAGCCCAATAGAAACGAGCAGAACAAACAAAACATAGTACCGGTACCGAAAACCAATAGTGAAGCTTATTTTGGTGCTACGTCCGAAAACTGTCGAGTGGAACTCTAATGAGGGCAGTTGAAAAAAGGAGAACCCTCCGAACATGGCGGTTTTTGTGGATTCCCTGTTAGTCTGCCCTGCGAAGCCTCCTTGCTCTTTAAACCAAGGGAAGCAAAACAACAAACGATGATGTTGGCACATACGGTTTTCACCATCCTTGGCGACGGTGATGGCAGGTGAATCAAGTTCCCCATTGATGCGTAGCACCTCCCTGTCCATCCGGGCCGCAAGAGTCTGAAAACGCGAACTAGGCTTGGGTTGGGACACTTGGGATTGAAGGGACCGAGCAAATAACACGAGCAAGAAACAAGCCCAACCTTGTCTCATCTAGGTCCTCCAGTAGAGAGGTTAGAATACGGGAACCAATTTTTTTCTGAAGTTTATCTTAGTAGGGGATCTCTCCCCAAAAAACGAAACGGTAAAAGGGCACTACTGGGGGACCTAGTCAAGAAACACGAGCATCGGCTCCGATTCCAAAGCGATCTTAATGTCCTTTTGACCAAGAAAGACCAGCCACCCACTTCCGCGACGATAGTCCACGCATCAGGGCACCCACACCAAGCCCTTTACGTACTTGTCTCCTGACTCTTGCATGGGTTACCCAAAAGACAAACACCACCCCATGCTTAAAACTTCAGAAGAACTCCACCAGGTATATCAAACCAACCTTCTTTCATGTGTCGTTTGGTGGAATCCTGGTAAAGTTTAAGAGTACCTGGTTAAGTAGGCTGTAACCCTGGCAAATGTGTTTAAGTGTTTTCATGTATGTTTGTTTGTCTGTTTGTTTGTGCGCTTGTTTGATTGATTGTGTGTTTGTTTGCTTGCTTGCTTGTTTGTTTGATTGTTTGTTTGCTTGTTTGATTGTTTCTTTTTGCGTGTGTGTTTGTGTGTTTGTTTGTTTGTTTGTTTGTTTGTTTGTTTGTTTGTTTGATTGTTTTTGTTTGTTTTTGTTTGTTTGTGTTTGATTGTGTGTTTGATTGTGTGTTTGTGTTTGTTTGTTTGTTTGTTTGTTTGTTTGTTTGTTTGTTTGTTTGTTTGTTTCTTTGTGTGTTTGTTTGTTTGTTTGTTTGTTTGTTTGTTTGTTTGTTTGTTTGTGTGTTTGCTTGCTTGCTTGCTTGTTTGCTTGTTCGTTTGATTGTTTGTGTGTTTGTTTTTTGTGTGGTTGTTTGTTTGATTGTTTGTTTGATTGTGTGTTTGATTGTTTGTTCGTTTGTTTGTCTGTTTGTTTGTTTGTTTGATTGTATGTTTTTTGTTTGTTTGTTTGGATTGTTTTTTTTTTGTTTTTTTTTTGTGTTTGTTTGTGTGTTTGTGTGTTTGTTTGCTTGCTTGCTTGTTTGTTTGGTTGTTTGTTTGTTTGTTTGTTTGTTTGATTGTTTGTGTGTTTGTTTGTTTGTTTGTTTGCTAGCTTGCTTGCTTGCTTGCTTGCTTGCTTGCTTGCTTCCTTGCTTGCTTGTTTGCTTGTGTGTTTGTTTGTTTGTTTGTTTGCTTGCTTGTTTGTTTGTTTGTTTGTTTGTTTGTTTGTTTGTTTGTTTGTTTGTTTGTTTGTTTGTTTGTTTGTTTGTTTGTTTGTTTGTTTGTTTGTTTGTTTGTTTGTTTGTTTGTTTGTTTGTTTGTTTGTTTGTTTGTTTGTTTGTTTGTTTGTTTGTTTGTTTGTTTGTTTGTTTGTTTGTTTGTTTGTTTGTTTGTTTGTTTGTTTGTTTGTTTGTTTGTTTGTTTGTTTGTTTGTTTGTTTGTTTGTTTGTTTGTTTGTTTGTTTGTTTGTTTGTTTGTTTGTTTGTTTGTTTGTTTGTTTGTTTGTTTGTTTGTTTGTTTGTTTGTTTGTTTGTTTGTTTGTTTGTTTGTTTGTTTGTTTGTTTGTTTGTTTGTTTGTTTGTTTGTTTGTTTGTTTGTTTGTTTGTTTGTTTGTTTGTTTGTTTGTTTGTTTGTTTGTTTGTTTGTTTGTTTGTTTGTTTGTTTGTTTGTTTGTTTGTTTGTTTGTTTGTTTGTTTGTTTGTTTGTTTGTTTGTTTGTTTGTTTGTTTGTTTGTTTGTTTGTTTGTTTGTTTGTTTGTTTGTTTGTTTGTTTGTTTGTTTGTTTGTTTGTTTGTTTGTTTGTTTGTTTGTTTGTTTGTTTGTTTGTTTGTTTGTGTGTTTGTTTGTTTGTTTGTTTGTTTGCTTGTTTGATTGTTTTTGTTTGTTTTTGTTTGTTTGTGTTTGATTGTGTGTTTGATTGTGTGTTTGTGTTTGTTTGTTTGTTTGTTTGTTTGTTTGTTTGTTTGTTTGTTTGTTTGTTTGTTTGTTTGTTTGTTTGTTTGTTTTTGTATTTGTTTTTGTTTGTTTTGTTTTAACTACGCTGTCACCAAGGTAAATGTGTTTAAACGTTTTATGTGTTTTTTGTTTAAGGGTTTTTTCTCCGAAGCAACAGGTGCAAAGTTGATGCAAACCGCTTCGAGTGGCAGGGCGTTGACGAGGGAGGACTTTCCCACGCCCGAGGAGCCGGTGATGGCCAGCATGATCCTTCGCGAGGGAATATGGCTGTGGGTCATCCTCCCATAAAGGGGAGATTCCCTTAAGGTTCCTTACTACCACGTGGATGACCATCCATGTTAAACCCAAGTAAAGGCACGGGTCTTTTAGACCATGGCACATATGGCTGCGGGTCAAAAAAAGGTACCCAAAATATCCAAAAATGGAACCCCTGGTAAATGGAAACATGGACTCAAACCTGCGGTCCATATCCTGGTGGTTTCATTTTGATTTATAATCATATGGGTCTACTCAATGATGCTAGGTCCTCCAGTAGAAAGGTTAGAATAACAGGGATCCTTACAGTATGCACCTGAACATTGCCTTGTCAATGGTGGGTTCCCTTTGTTTTGGTGGAAGAAGCCATGTTTCAAATGGGCAACATGTACCTTTTAAGGAGCCCTGCTGTACCACCAAAATATACCTCAATTTTGCGGGAACATTACCCCCGATTTTGGGCATGCAATTTATTGATAGAGGGGATATGGCAAGGCATATGGCAAGGCATATGGCAAGGCATATGGCTGTGGGTCAAAACCGTTTTGGGATCCCATTTTGGGTAGGTGAACCACCCATTTTGGAACCTATTTTCATGGGGATTGGGATGTTCACTGGGGGGTAACCGGGCTTTGAGCCATGGCCATATGGGTCTACTCAACGGTGTGAAGTGGCGACCAAAGAAGTTGCTGGTGCGATAGGCAGGGAATTCGAAATAGAATGTTCGGAATCCCTACAAACAATCCCTTGTGGCTTCCCTTGAGGGAATCCAATGGTTCATTGCCAACAACCTGGGTCATTTCCTACTGCACCAGCAAGACAAGTATCTCCGCTGTTTATGTGGAGGTCGATTGAAATTTCCGAAGTACATGGGATGGCCATTGGGGCAAAACCCTGAAAAAGGTGATATGACACTAAATGGGATTACCCATGCTCATTTGGGGGCCGGGAATATTGATCAACGCCCATGTACGCCAGGGGTGACACAACCAGCCGACCTGCAGAAGCCTACGCGAGCCTACACGCCCAACCAGGACTGCCGCCAAGTACATGCAGTTTCCTTTTCGTTTGACCCCTTTCATTTGATTAAAAACCGCTGCTCAAATGGTCCAAGCCCAAAAGAGGTGATTCCAATCCAAGATCTCAGGGAGTGAGATCCGTATATCGGGACACCCCCGCAAGATCTCTAAACAAGGGGAAGATACATACAGGTTTGAATATGTGAGTCCCGGACTCAGTGGTGGACATAATTATGTTGGGATTCATGTGCACGAACCACGTTTAAGGTGGTTCCTATTAACCTTCATATCCACAGCCCCTCACTGAACTGGAACTTGGGTGCGTTTTGTTTGATCTTTGACCTTGACTCCCTGCAAGCTACAATGCGTCCCCTGGAAAAAAGAACAAAAACATCCAGCAGTCATAGATTCCCAATAAACCAGGGAGAAACAACACATATTCATTTCAATAACAACCCATTAGCAAAACGGCTAATCACTTCCGAGCGTAAGACCCACGTTTCCAAAAGGCATTCCTCTCACACCAAAGTTGCATGAGTCACTGGCGTTCAGGTGATGCTAGAAGCGAAACAACCTTTACCAACGCAGTCGGGACCCGGCAAAAAACGAACCACAAACAAGCACGTATGAGATCCTTCCGCATACGAGTTACCAGGAGTCTAAAGCCAGGATCTAAGTGAGGGTCGGGGAAATATATATGTTTTGGCACCTTTGGGCGTCTCAAAACCCGATCGAGTGGATGGCAACCAAAAAGTAACCAAACTTTTTGTATGCTACAAACATGGTCTTTCCAACGGGTATAAAGTGCATGAACTCAGATAGTGAGGTGTCGGTTTGCAAGGGACACCCCCGTCAAAAGCAAAGCTGGAATCCTCTCTGTTGCTCAGAATGGGGGCATCCCTAAAGCCGCAATCTGCAAGACACCACTACAAGAGAAATCACTACCATCTGGCAGGATTGAGGCTTAAGGACGGATTTTGACCCCAGAATCCTTTGGGTGTGCTCTAGAATAGAGGACCTGAAATGGTATGTGTCCTGTTGAACACCAAGAAGAAGCCATACGGGTGTGTCGTGTTTACGTGACCCCCCCCGCCGAAAAAAATGTGAAAAAACAACACATCTGGTGGGTGTCCCCCCCCCAGCCACAAAACAGGTGTACCGAGCCTCAAAAACAAAGGAACCTTGGCTGGACTTAGGCCCCAGCCAAAAATGCGATATGTTTGCCTGGTTAGTTCACAAAGGGGGCCCAAAAAAGAAAAAACAAGAAGGAGTTCACAACAAATGGGGGCCCCAAAAAAACAAAAGAAACCAAAGGGGAGGGTTAGTTCACAACAAAGGAGGGGGCAAAAAAACCTAAACAAAACCAAGAAAAGGGAGCTAACTCTGGGCAAGATACTTCCAAAATCTGCCGTCCAAGGGTCTTGCCGCTCTTGCTTGCAGCCTCCAAGTACTCGGGCACTGGATACTCCTCCTCGTCACCTTCGCTGGGATTCAGCTCAGATCAGCCCGGGAAAAGAGCTCAAAAACATGAGCGACAATTCCATGTCAACGGAACCACATGATTTTTTGTGGAACCGGCACCCAGCCACAGCAATTTGCCGAATTTAGTCTGAGTCAACGTTATTGAAGTCAAACGCGTGTTGCCGTTAGGATTTAGGTAAGCGGGCAGTCAGTGAAGGGCATTTCTGGGTGGGTTGTTTCCAAGGGTGGACGTAGCAAGATCCAAAAAGTGTTGCGGTTCCTCTTAGTTTCCCGTTGCACCCGTCTCGGAGGGGGGTACCGATACTGGATGGCACTTCGATTGCCTCCCCCACAAACAAACAAAAACGGAAACAAACAAGTAGCGGTCCACAAAAAGGAGATTCCTCTGCTCTTGGGCTCCATCTGCAGGCGAGTAACATTCACCTAGCCGGCAAGGGTTTGTCCACGTAGAAATGTGCACCCCTTAAATGAGTCAAAATCAAAAGCTGGAATAAACTGGTCTATACTATACAGAGTCACGTAAAAAATGCAACAGGCGGATATCCGCACCATGTATGGCCTGTCCCTTACCCTCCAACTCCCCGGATTTTGCTTGCACTCTACAAGCACCTGGAGTTCCTCTCTCGGTTCTCTTTGAAAGACGAAAATCTCCTCCCGCCTTTGGCCGCTTCAATCTGCGCTTCCAACAAGGACAGCTTCTTCAGCGCCTCCTGCAACCGTCCTCGTGGTCCTTGCGCGGCCCCATGTGGATGGGTCCCAAACATGTGAACCTGCATTTTCCGACATGCCGCATGACATGAAGAACATGAATTGCTTTAGAATGGAATAACGGCACGTTAACATTTTTTCAGCACATGGAAGTTTGTGTGTCGTTTCTAGAGTCGGTCTACCCCTTTTGGGTACGATTGAAAGGACAACCAAAACGAAAAGCGAAGCCGTTGTGCGGGGTCCGTATCCTATAAAACGAGCCCCCCAGATGGAGATGCATTTTCCTTTTTTATTCAATCTGATACTCAACCCCTGTCACTTCCAAAGATGAGAAGTAAAGAAACGTCCATGTTGTTTGTTATGTGAGTTATGTGAGTTATGTGAGTGAGTCAGTCAGTCAGTCAGTCAGTCAGTCAGTCAGTCAGTCAGTCAGTCAGTCAGTCAGTCAGTCAGTCAGTCAGTGAGTGAGTGAGTGAGTGAGTGAGGGTGTGAGGGTGTGAGGGAGTGAGCGGGGTGTTTGGGTAAGTGAGTGAGTGAGTGAGCGAGCGAGCGAGCGAGCGAGTGAGTGATAGCTGCTGCGCTAGGTGGGAAGCGCAGAGCCACTGCCTATCACGCGCCATCCTTCCTGGCTTCGAAGAGGCTCCGTAAACGTCATTGCCTCCTCTTCGGGTTCAAGCTGGCTAAGCACCCGGAGACCCAAATAAGTCTGGCTAAGGGGAAGTGCTGCTGCCTAGTGAGGCCCGCCACCCGCACCAGTTGCGAACAGCGACTGGGCTGCTTAAGAGCAAGACAGCGTGACATCCCCGCACGGCAGCGCTTCCCCACCTTGCCAAGAACAACGAAGAAGACCAAAACTTCCGCCCTTGGTGGGAGTCGGAGTCCTTGTCGCGCCTTCTGCACCTCCTTCTTGGCCTCGCGGTTGGCCTGCTGCAGCTCTTGCGAAATTCCGGGCGCGCTCTTGGGGCGCAGCGCCCCCAGCAGCGCCACGCCGCCCAGCAGCGCCGCCTGCGAGGCTTGGGGTTGAAGCGCCGCGCGGCCAAGCGCCCGGTGGACTTTTCCGTGGGCAAGAGAAGTTGGCGTCCAAAGATTTTCGGGTTGGAAGTGAAAGTGTTTCCATTTTTTCTGGTTGGAGTTGAAAGGGGAAAGCCAAAGCCCAAAAATAATGTTGGAAAAAAAGGAGCGGAATCCAGTGGGTCACTGGTTTTTTGAGAGGGGGTTTTTAAGGGGAAGCTTCCAACCAGTCTTTCCAGGGCTCCGAATCTTTTCAGGAAGCCGTCAGAAACCCGGAGGAAAGAGCGGTCGGTTTTTGAAAAGAACGATTGTTGCAAAGAATGGGGAGTCAAACCCGATACTTTTTGATCGGTAGAGTTTGAAGGGGAACCAATTCCAACCAAAAGATGAAGAAACCGGGCGGAATCCACCGGGCAACTGGGCTTTTTAGGGATCTCTAGAGTTCCTTGCCGCCCATTAAGCAAATGCGCAAAGGGGCCCGAACGGTAAACAATGCAGGTTGTATGAACCCAACCATTGTTGAAATGGTTGTTTGCCATCCCAGGACGATTATACTTGGTTGCAGTGGCCAGCTCGAAATGCTCCGCATCATGTAGTAGGCGACGGAGCTCGGCTTCTCTATCATTGACCTTGAAAATTCTTGTCGGACTTGACAGCGCTCCAACCCAACTGCTTCATCTTTTCAAAGGCAAGGCAGTCGAGGGGAGTCCAGTTGCCTCTTTGCCTGGCAGTGGCAAGCCTGGCTTGCTCCTCCGCCAAGCGACGGGCGACTTCCTCTTCAAACGCTTCTGCTGGGCCGCTGCTTCGCGTTGAGCCCTGTGCAAACGGTTTGCCTTTTTGTGGGTTCAATGGAAAACCCTCAATTTCTCAAAATGTTGAAGTCTAAAGATCCAACCCAATAGCAAGCAAGGCAAGACTTACTAAGTGTGGTTGCTGAAGCAAGGAGTTGCCCCTGAGTTGGGTCCCTGCCACTATTTGGGTGAATATTCATTAGGAACCCGAAATGGTGAAAATATGATTGAGGGGATTCATGTCCAACAACATTTGAGGGGGAAAGACGGGTAAAGAATCAACATGGTTGCGACCCCTCCAATTGCCTGTTATGAACTTTGATGAGTCCCGGGCAGAATTTGGGCAGAATTTGGGGATGCATGTGTGTGAACTTTTGAGGCGCTGCCCTTTTTAAAAAAAGCCCAGGTGGCATGCCCAACAGCCCTGGAACCCCCTGGAACCCTCCCTAAAAGCTGCACAGAGCTTATTTGGGCAAAGACCCCGTAGCTTTCAGCTGTTGGGGAAAAAGTTGATGGTCGAAGGGGTTCCTTGGTGGCCGTTGACCCCTCAATCTCAGAAGCCGAACCTTTTGAGTGGGAAACACACACAGATTCGACATTTTCCGAGCGGGGGTATACTCCTGCAAATTAACCTGGAACCCCAAAACTGCGCTTTTGAGAGGAACCTCCTCTTTGGGACCTCCATTTCGGGTTCCATGCTAATTTGCAGGGGTAGGTTTTGGCTACCCGTTGACCAAGCTTTTCACGGCCCTGGGGATACACCCCAGGCCCATTCCTTTGGCGCAGAAGATGTTTGGGGCCGAAGTTCTCTCTCCTGCAAATCATAACAACCTGTCCAAGGGGCCGAGTACACAAAAAGTGACTTTGCTTAACCCTTAAAAAAAAGAACAACTTTTTCGTTGGGGGTTCAGGTGGGGGTTCAGGTTAGTCTCCCAGTCCTTTTCGAGTCTGCGCCAACCAAGATAAGCCACATAGTGTATGTGAAGCTTGGCAAAGGATGGATGTCCGCCCTCTTGATTCTTTGGGGGAGGTGTTGGACTCGGATGTGTTTGGAGTTTACTACAAGGGCCTAGAAATTACAAAGGCTGCAAGTTCAAGCTACAAACCACAGGAGCAGCCTACAAAGGTCGCAATGACTCGCCAAATTATCGCATAGCCTCCCCTTTCTTGGGGGTGCTGCCTGCATTTCTCAACAAGAGTTTTGTTTCCTCTGAGAATCATGGCCTGTTTTTGTTGGGGTCCATGTCCCAATAAGGAGCTTCCTCGAATGATCTAAGGAGCACTTGCATCGCCAAAGCATGAGTTGGCCCTCCAAATAGGCATGCGTCAACAGTGGAATTTGTGAACAGGGCACGCTTAAACTCCACGCAATGGCTTCAGCTTTCCTTTTGGTTGCCTGAAAAGGGTACCCTCCAACAAACACACACACACACACACCAAATAGAACAACAAACATTGAGGTCTTACAAACACACATGTGGTCACATTTGTCATTGTTCCTGAGAAGGACATAGAACAAATTGTAAATCCTGTGGTTTTTTGCAGAGCAACTTGTTGACTTGCCTACTTTCCCTGCCCGAAATGCGCGCTAGATGATGAAGACATTTACCAGACTGTTTGCCAATCATTGACCTATGCCGGATGTTGTGAAAGGACGAGCAATTGAAGCCGTGAAAGGGTGATAGCCCTCCGCGAAGGAGCAGCAGGTGAGCAGTGGGAAAGCCATTTGTGAAGCCAAAAGGCTGTTCGGACACCAGCCATGCTTTATATAAGGGGTGTGGGGTGTGGGGAATGAAACTAAAAATATCCTTGAGGAAACAGGAAGCCTCCCAAAGACACCCTCCCAACAGCTAAGGCACTGCCCCCAAACGAGTCCAAACCACCAAAGAATGTGGAAAACACTCTAGTTCCGAAGTGGCTTATAAACCTAATGCACCCAAAGTTAAAAGGGTAATACATAAGTTGTACCTTGCAACTCCCTCCCACTCCACAGCGAGTGGACTGGCCAACCAAAGGTTTACACTGTTTGTTTACTAGGTCCTCCAGTAGAGAGGTTTACCCTTTTTGCCGTAGCCTATTTTAGTAGGTGAACCCTCCCCAAAAAAAGGGGAGGGAAAGGGCACTACTGGGGGACCTAGGTTGTCTTCCCAAAAAGCTTAAAGTCCAGAAACTCAAGGAGTGAGCCCTGCTTCAACCACTTGAGGCGGCCAAGTCTTGGGCTCCCACCTCGGGCAGCCCGCGTCGCAGCAGTCTCTCGCCGCGCGGGGAGTCGGAGATGGCTCCTGGTGCAAGTTGGGGCGTCCGGGTCCGCAAAAAAGACGCAGCCTAGTTGAGAAGCCCCCATATCCACATCTTGCTGGAACCACTTTCCAGGTTTTGGGACATCTCCGCATCTTGCCAGCTCTCAGGGAACAGGTTTGGGGAATGAACCGCTTGGGATTCCTGAAGCCGACCACAATGGGGGTGGGCGGGTCACGCTGAGAACAAGCAAGCTTGGATTGGAGGGAAGCATGAAACCAACTGTCATGATGAATTCACAATGATTCACCAACCACGAAAATGTTTTTTATTCTAGGCATGGAAGGAACCGCCCTTGGTGGTAGCTTCCCTAATCGGTTGAGCCAATCAAACAAACGTTTGTTCATACCTTCAGCCTTGCGTTATGGGACTCAGTTGCCCAAAGAATCTAAACAAAAGCCCATGACTAAACATGGACCAAAAAGGGACACTAAAAGGTCGGCTTTGAGAGTATAGCTATCCACCGCAGCCGGCCCCTGCTTGCCACAACCTTTTCCTCATTTCTCCCTAACCAATCATAGTCTTTCTCCTCACCTGCCACACGGAACAAATGGGGCCCCTCACTAAACAGGGTTGCTCCGATCGCACAGATGCACAGAATGAGGGGGATTCCTTTTGACAGGTATCCTTCTTGCCGGAAACCTTTGGCTTCGCGCCAGCTTGTCGCTTGGATCCCGGTGGCTTGGAGTTCCAGGGGTCTCCCATTTTTTCGGGGGGTGCCCGAAACGAAACCACAGGACTTGAGACAAACCCCTATGGACTAGTGGCGCATTCCTCCTTTAAATGCGCTTTCCGCAGCCCAAAGGAACCTTTTGGACCCATAGCAACAGCTGGACAACACATATTTGAACCCCCAACTTGGTCCATTTAACTCTCAACACCAACAAATGAAACAAATACATATTCAGGTGTGATTCTATATATATATAGGGATGTCCTTTTTGAGGTAAGGCCCCTAAAAATGAGACACATCCAGTGCTTTTGTCTACCTGAACACGTTGGTCACAGTCTTGGACCCACTGCCAGCCTCTTGCGAGTGGACGTCTTCCGCTTCTCAAAGACTTCTCCTGCCTGCGTGCGTGCCGACGGCAAGCGACGGCATCCAGCGCAAGGCGACGCGCGAAACGCGCCCGCTGAAAAATTGCCGCTTTTCGAGGGGAACAGTTTCCAGTCGACACGTAGGAAGTCCAGAAATCAGAAATGTCCACACCCCGGTTTCACCCACAACCCGGTTTCAGCCATACAAAGAAGGACAAAGGGTAAAAGCAAGGTCTTTCCACAAAGCCAGTCTAACCTGGTTTTTTGCAAGGTGGCATAAAGAACTAGGTCAAAAACATGTCGGGCCAAGGTTCCTCTTGTTGACATTCAACCCTGAGCTTGCCCCGGGCTTCTGGATCGATTTCTTGACCCCCCCACCTGCGTGCAAGCAGCAAAAGGAACTAAACATTGTAGCTGATGTCGAAGTAAGCGCCTTGCTTTCATCTGGTTCCGGGGCGCGAAGCAAGCGCACTTACGTGTTCTCTGTTCTTTGGGTTTGTTCTGAAAGAAAACAACAGGGATGCCCCCCCCAATTTACAGACAAACCCGGGTGCATAAATGTCACAATGTGGCCTGCCCACACGCCTGCATTCTGGGAACCAGCCTCATACGAACAACATGGGGTACTTCTATCGCCAACGTGCAATTCCAAACTCTGGAGGGGGCAGGGGGTTCTAAGTACAGGGCCTTCATAAAGAACATCCAACGAGCATGGGGTTGCAAACTCAGTACTCGCTACACGCAAATTCAACCAGTATTGCTTGTTTCGCGCCCCTCAGCACCTTCGGCATCCTCATCCAGGGCTCTCTGACTGATACATGGGTTTCTTGGACGTTTGCTGTTGCAACACGCGCGCGGCCTCGGTCAGCCGTGTTGGTCAGTACAAGTATTTTAGCGTGGCCAGCTGCTACTGCGAAAGGTAGAGCACCTAAGGATGGGTGGTTGGACTCATGTCTCAGACGGCTGGCCTCATCACCATGGCAGTTGCCTCAAACGCCGCGCGCAACCATGATGTCGCCCAGATATGTGCCATGAAAAAAAGGAATCCAAAGCTACTCCATGAGCGACACTGCACACGTGATACAACAAGGCAAGCGCGTCCCTTCTGCACCTCGGTGGCCCAAATGGATGACCCTACTTTGTGGGCAGTTGCCTGCTCGCTCTGCCAGCAATGGCTAGCCGGCCGTCCTGCACCCTATTTCCCCACACGAATGCGCATTTACGCGAGGGCAGGGCTTGCTGCACCTTTCCGCAGTCGCCGGCCCGGTGCCCTTGACCAAATGGATGTCACTGTGCGCCAGCGTCGGACCGCAAGCGACAATGTAGTTTGCAAAGATGGGGCAAGGAGGCATCGTGGCACTCCTTGCCAAGATGCAAGATCCTGACGCCCCGCAGTACACTGGGATACTGCTGCGGGAAAGCAACACCTGAGACACCTGCTGGTTGGTGTCTACCTGGCCACGCCACCTAAAAATGCCTGAAACATCCCTGGAGCCGTGGTCTCACTATTGCACCCGCGGCTGCCGTGGTCTGCGTTCAGTAACTCATTGGATGACCGAAATTTAATCCGAGCCTCAGGCACCTTGTGTCTAGTGAATGGAGACTTGCGCCGCATCGCCATCGTTCGCACACGCAACCTGTCAGTTTTTACACTGTGACATATCCCTCATTGACGCAGCCGTGCTGCAGATGCATGCTAATTCCCAGTTGGTTGTTCTTGTGTTACCTTTCAAGGCCCCTTGTGCAGTTTGGACTGCAAAGCACCCTTCTTGGCTTTAGTGGTTCATACGGGCCGACGTAGCTAAACTCGCCGTTGCCGAAGGGGCCGGCTACTCAGATCACATCCGGTGTACAGCGCGGTGACCGCTGGTCTCACGCACCAAGAGCAAAGCGCAAAAATCCGCTGCTCGATAGCTCACCCAAAGGGGTCCTGATGGAACTTGGGCTTCATAACGAGGGCGCGTTCCGGGGAACTTTCCTCCATACCCAGCCCCGATTTGGGACCCTCGACCGCAAAGGATAAGTACGTAGATATAAATCCGCAGGACGGGCAAGACAAGTGCTCAATGTCTCATTGCATTGCCTTGGCATGCTGCGTTCAACTAGATTAGAGCAAGCCAAGCTGGCAGATATAGGCTATGACCGAAGGGTTCGCAGGAGAATGTAGAAAAGGACACCTGGCTGTCCTCGGATCCCCTGCTAACAGTTTAACTTGTAGTGGGCTGAATGGAAATCCCGGCTAAACACCAAAAAAACAAGAAGGCTAACTGCCATTTGCTTAAGCCCCGTGGAAAAAATATGTCCAGTAGTGATAGATTCCCTTTAAAACCAAAAGGGGGGAAAGAAACAAAAAACATTTCAGCAAATGGAAACTAGTGAACCGGATGGCTGCCAACTACCAAGACACGTCTCTGACACCTGCAACTAGGTCCTCCAGTAGAGAGGTTAGAATAAGAGTACCAACTTTTCTCGGTAGTCTATTCCAATAGGGGAACCCTCCCAACCAAAAAAGGGGTGAGAAAGGGCACCTAGGCAACGACAACAAGTTGCGGCGCTCAGCGCCTGGGCAGCAGGAACGCTGGCAGCGCCCCCAGCGTCACCAGCAGCGCAACTCCGCGGCGCCCCATGGACTCCGCGCGGATCTGTTCTCAACTTTTGTTGAATCCGTGTTCGCCCCTTTGGCCGGGCCGGGCGTTTCGGAGGCGGCTTGACCCGGCCCCAAAACACGTTTCGGGGGCCTGGGGGCAAAAAGAAACATGAGAGTTGGGATAGGAGTGTTGCGCTTCGAGGCAACGGGACCCGGACGTGTGTCACAAGAGGGCCTTAAGCGGACGCCATATGGCTAACACCTTGATCAGCGCAATGGCTCAAGCTGACTTTTGCCGAGCTTTGGTTTGGTAACGCCAAACAACAGCCCAGCTCAGAGATCCTGGTGGAGAAAGGAAAACCTTTCATCAAACAAGGAATCCAGTTGCCAGTGAGTAACTAGCCATGTGCCATTCGGTTTTGTACACTTTTTAAAGGGGTGGTTCCCTTGGCTGCCTCCTTTACAGAGACATGGAATCACTGGCAAAACCGTAACACACCTCTGAAATGTCCTGCCCGTGGACAAATCTGACGCTGAATCTCGGGTTGTGTGGAAAGTCGTATCCTGGGTCTTACCGGCCCGCTCTACACCTGGCGCGGGAAAATGGTCGCCTGAGCCAAATGCGGGCGGCTGAGTGGTCTGTCGGAAGCTCTGGGAAGAATCGCTTGACAGTTGCTGGGTAGCCTCGGATTCCCAAAATAACAAATATGCACGAACAACTCGACCTTAAGTTATCCGATAAACATATTGCACCCCTATTTGCAGCTTGGCAGAAAGCCAATTTTCAAATCAAAGCTAGCCATTGCATTGCTAACGCCGATGTTTGGCCTGCCAACATGGACAAAGGAAAACTATAGCGAGCCATGTTCAATCATGAAGCAATACTGGAAAAGCAAAGGTTCGGGCCAGTTGCAATAAATCACAAGGACCATCACATCGGTGGATTAGCTTGGTTTACCCCTGAGTCAGCTCGATACAATTTGCAGCAAGTTCTCACTCCCTGAGTGGGCTGGCCAAAAGAAGCCAGAACTGTTGTTTGCCAGCATGCTGAGGATCCCCAAAAGTGTAAAGTAAAGGAACTCCGGGAGTGAGGCAGAATAAAACAACTTGGGTGGTGTATCCCAGTATCAGGATTTTGTGAATCCCACGTGATGCTGGATTTTTGTCTACCAAAAGTAATACCACCACAAAGTGAAATGGACTATCCAAGACCGATACACTGGCACTGTGGATGGACGAAATCCTGCACCATCTGCGAAACCCTAGAATGATTCGATTCCCCTCTACATACCAAACAAAACATATTTGTTGGTGCGACTATTGGATTTCGCACCCGCAGTATTTCTTAGCTTTCACGCCAGGCAGTCACTCAGCGCCGGGGCTCCCTACAGTTCCCCTTCAAACATCACTCAGCGCCGGGCCAAAAGAATGATGATTAAAACTGGGCCGCTCTCAGATCCCCTGCTAAAAGTTTAACTTTTAGTGGGTTAAATGAAAACTACCACTAAAGCCTAAAAGCCTAAAAGGCTAAGGCACCGGACGGCTGGGGGCCGCCAATAAACAGGGAAATCAATCAAAACACGGCCCATTAACGCTGGGATGCCGCGCCCAACCGCAGGCGTCGGCCCAGCGAACCCGCGCCGCTTGCGGCGGCGCCGCCGCTGGGCGTGGGCTGCCGGTTGCCCCGGCCGGTGCGGCCAGCCGTTGACGGCAGGGGCCGGGTGCGGAGCGCGGAGAGGTGCGCGGGCTTCTTGGTGGAGACCTCACGTTCTTGGAGCTTCCGCTTTGAAAACAGCGCCATGGCTGTGGTTGTCAAAACCGTTTTGGTTGATCCCATTTTGGTTGGTAGGTGAATTCACCCATTTTAGAACCTATTTTAGTGGGGATTGGGATGTTCACTGGGAGGGTATACTGTGGATGGTTACGAAGTGCAGTTCGCACCACTTTGAAACCACGGGGAACCACCGTTTGCTTGGTACTTACAATACAAGGGAATCATGAATCCAGGGCTTGTTAGGTGGTGCAGGATTTTGTCCATGCACAGTATGACCAAGTTTGTAGTATGTAGGTGGTTAAGAACAAGGCTTGGCTCATTTGTAAACATTGCTACGAGTACAACCTGATTAAAATAACGTTACATAATAGACATGTAGCATCCGCTGTGGGCTCTTCTGAACATCCGCCGCGACTCCAGTAAACGCCGTCACCCAATAGAGGAAACACGCCCACCAAGTAGCCGTAGTTGTGTGACATGGTCAAAACTCACCCCTGAGTGATGACCATCCCGAACCGAGCAAAGAAAGCGGTGAGGTCTCAAGTCCCTAGTCAGAATCATGACTGTACTGGTTTAAAAAAATCAAAAGCATGGCACTCACCATGTCCTCTAGAACCAGTCAATGAAAGGTAACCACCAACTATGGACCTTTTTGCTTTGAATGTGATTCCCTTAGATACTTACGGGCAAGTCGGATTACTGCTCATTTGCTGAGTGGATGGCCCAAACAAATAGCAACCAACCAACATGTTTGCATGCCACTCACATGGTCGGTCTTTCCCAAAAATACCAAAAACCATGAACTCAGGACGTGAGACTGGGAATTCAAAAATGCCAAGGAGCCTAAATGACTATTTTGTTTTATCCCCAGTCCAAAAAAACAAAAAAGTAACGGTGGCGGTAAATCAACCTTGGGAGGTACCAAAAAACCCTTAGAAAGTACCACCTCAGCCACGTTACCCCCAAAACCCTCAACTCAAAGGGTTTTAACTGTAGTTTGCTTTTTGATTGGTAAGCTTTTGGAGGCTCTTTGAAATGGAACAACTGGAATCTCCCCATTTTCGGGGTCAGCCAGTTGGAGGTGTCTGCTTTTTTCGAAGGGGTCCCTTTGTGTTGGTGGTTTCAAAGGCAAACCAGAAGGAACACAAACCCATTCCCACGTAGGTACCCAAAATAGAACGCTGGTAAATGGAAGCATGGACTACAACCAGCGGTTTTCTGTGAATTAATTTTGTCCCCTGGTCACATCCTCAGGTGACTTTCCGGCCTCCGTCGCCAGCGCCGCCGTATTCGGCGCCACCGCCGGCGGCGCCACCGGCGCCGGCGCCGGCCTTGCGGGCGGCGGTCCCTTGGCTGGCGCCTTTGCCGCCGGCCGCGGCAGGCGGCCCGTGGGCGCCGGCGTAGACCTCGACGCTGTTACCGGTGGAAAAACAACCAGTGATTCCATTTCCCTGTCTGATAGGTAACCAAGGGAACCACTCTTTACAAGCCACGAGGAAAATGGCGAAGGGTTACCTACCATCGTGGCTTGTCCGGAATCCTGGGTAATACAAGCACGAGAAACCATCTAGCTCCTCCAGTAGAGAGGTTAGAATAAGTTGGTACCATTCATTTTTTATTTTATTTTGTGTCTATTTTAGTAGGGGAACCCTCACAACCAAAAACACGAAACGGTAAAAGGGCACTACTGGGGGACCTAGTACCCAAACATACTTTGGTACCAGTACCACAGATCCATTTGTGTGATACCAGTGAAAGACAAAAGTGTGATAACGTAAGCCAGTGGACAACATGTCTTTGTGTGATACGTCGCGTGGAAGCAACAAATGAATACGCCCAGTAGTGAAATGGATTCCTTGTAAAACCAAGAGGGAAATAAACGACATGGAACTAAGCAAATGGAAGAATAGCCTGGGGTCTTGATCTGACCGTTTGAAGGGGTCGTTGCGCAACAAGGGCAAAGGGGTGACCCGCATCCTAGGGGGTCATGGAGACTGAGGATACCCCAAAAAAGGCAACCCGTAATTTTTGGTGAACCCCTGTGTTAGTGGACGATCAAAAGGAAGACCGAAGCCATTTTCGGGCAACTGAAGGAGTTCTATACTAGTCCTCCAGTAGAGAGGTTAGAATAAGTTGGTACCAACTTTTTGTCTATTTTAGTAGGGCAACCCTCCCCCAAAAAAGGGTAATAGGGCACTACTGGGGACCTAGTGAGGGTATATACCCCTGTGACAGTGGACGACCAAAAGGCAGACCGAAGCCATTTTTGGGGTTTTCCTTTGCAGGACAGACTCAACTGAAGGAATCCCATAGGATGGCCCCATTTTCGGGCTCCCCCCTCCCAAAAAAGGCAGACTCAACTGAAGGTGAAGGATTCACATAAAAAAGGACGGCCAAAAGCTGAGATTTTTTATTCCGTGCCACGGAGCGCGAGCGCGGCTCGGCTCTCCCGCTTGGCGCGCAGCGGCACGTCGGGGGCCCACTGGATCTCGGCGCTGAGGCGCGACAAGGTGGAGAGCTCATCTGCCAAGGTGCCTCAGGTCGTCTTGTTTTTTTCAGGGGCGATCACTCGTCTTTTGAGGTCGTCTTAGGGGCGATCACCCTGGCCTCATTATTTTACCATGATCAAAGCTTGATTACCTTTTACCACGGCTTGTTGTGAAACTAGAAAGCCTCACTTCTCGAGTTTGTAGGAACAGAATGGCACTTTGTGGGGTACCCTTTCTTGGGAGTTTTACAAAGAAACCAACAGGAAACACCAGTTCTGGGGGTCCCCAAAACAAAAATCACACCATGTCGAGTCTAATCAAAACTGCTCCCCTCACAAAGTTCGGAAGATCCGGATCACCATGGCCCCATTATTTTACCATGATCAAAGTCACCCTAAGTGGAGGGTTAAGGAAAACAACCCCATTTCTGACTTTGATCACCCCCAGAAACAGTAAAAATAATGACCCCAGTGTCACCCCTCACAAAGTTCGGAAGATCCGGAAAGAAAAGGCGATCACCTTTCGGAACCTGAAACAAGTGGGCCAAAAAAGGAAAACTAAAAGGTCAAGAGGTCGGCTTTGGGTAATTGAGAACCCCACCCTCTGTTTTCATGTTACCCCAAATTGGTGGTTTGGTCTTAGGGGAACCAAAAGAGAGTACCAACAAAAGCGCCACCTCTTGAGCACTTCTAGGGGTAGCGCCCCCATTCTTTCCAGGGGTCCTTCTTTCTAGCAAACCACCTAAAACCCTGGGCAAATGGCTTTTTTTCAATGGATCCGCGGCTGATGCGTAGTCAACCTTAAAACGATAGAATGTAAATGTTCTGTCAAGAACCCAGGTTTGTAAGGATGGAAACAAACTTTACCAGCACACAGCGTCCGGGATAACTGACAGGGTAGATATAGGGGTCCTTGGTGAAGGGAAATCGAAGGGAACTCAAGGGGATACCAAGGGAAACTACTTAACAGAAACCATGGCAAACTAAGCCTGAGGGTTCAACCCTCAATGAAAATAATGACAATTCCCAACTTAAGCGATGACAATCCTTAGGTAAAACAAAACACTGGTGGCTATATGAATCCCCGTTGATTCTTTTTGGTAGCTTGAATCCCAGGGCAAGGGAAACTGGGCCGCCCTCAGCTCCCCCGCTCAAAGTTTGACTTCTAGTGGCTCAAATTCGGAAACTTAGTCACTAAACACCAAGAGAACCGGAAGGCTGGGAGACACCTTCAGGACACCAAGCGCAAAGGAAACCTGAGCCGAAGCGTCGGTAGAAGTCCGCGGAGTCAGTGCCGGGGCCCGAGGTCTCGAAGGCCATGGGCTCCATGGCGACGAGAACTCACAGCCCAGGCCAAATGGGTGTGCCTTTGTCTGAGTTGCTACTCCTTTTTTGGTGGTAGTTTGAAGGAAAACCCAAAGGAACACCACCAATATTCTCAAGAGTACTCCTGTTTTGGTAGTTCTCAATTGAAATTAAAGGCAACATCAACCTTTTTGTTGCGGCGGGGGCGGAAGACACACCCACTTGACGTGTTGGGGTTGGTCAACCATTCGACGCTTTGAAAAGGTTTGGTTTGTAGCGGAGCCTCGACCCTTTGAACATCGGGTCATTCCAAAGAAATGAGGTTTGACCTCACTTTTCCAGGATCATGGAGACTCCAGGTGCTTGTTTGCTTGGTGATTGGAAGCTTGGACTTTTTCTGATACTGTAGTCTGATGGCTACAGTTGAACTCGTGAAAACATGCTCAAACAGTTGGTTGCAAGGCGAGTCAGGACGACCCAAAGGTAGCTAAGCTTGCAACACAAACTGCATCGAACTCACAAGGAATTTGCATGCCAGAATACGTTGTTTTCCAAGGCCACGGGTATGCCCACGCAAGATTGCACAAAAAAAAAAAGCCTGGATTGAAAGGATCTACCCAAAACCATGGAAACCCTTGCTAACCTTCATCTACCCGGGGGTTGATTGTGGCTCAAGTGAACCCTTGAGTGATACCCCCCTCTCCCTGTCTGAAGCGGTGAAACTGGGCCGCGACGCGGCGACGCGCGCGCGAGCGACTCATTCAGCTTCCCTCGAATTGGCCGCTTGGAGTGGTTTCAAATGACGCCTCTACAAGAAGCCGGAGGCTCCATGTACAAACTACCAACTCAACCAATCAAGGGCAACCGGAATTATGTACCACTTGACAGTAGCAGATTGCCCAATGGCAGGGTTGCTGAAATTGGCATCTGGCGCTGAACAACTTATTCAATACACTGAGGCCGGCCATGGGGAAAAACAGCACCCCCTTTCTGCTGCTTGGTTGAGGCCGGTGACACACAAACACACACACACACACACACACAACTCCAACCCATGTTATTTTAGTCATCATCTTTACCCACATCTAGCGAAATGTTTTCACCGTCGAAATTGCAATGCCACTTCTGTGATAGCAAGAGAGCTTCCGAACGACAATTTCCGTGGTACAGAAGTCTCAGTTTCCCAGTGTGAACCCAGAAATCAAAGGCGATCACCTTTTGGGACCTGAACAAAACATAGACCCAAAATGCAAAACCAAAAGGGGACCTGAACTAAACATATACCCCAACATTGGCAAACCAAAAGATTAGATTCGGTAGATTCGCTTTGGGCAAGGGAGCCAAGCCACCTGACGGATGCTTGAGGCTTTGGACTTCAGAAGTTGGAATGAACCCAAATTGATGTCTTCACCAGCGCATGAAATGTACCCTCCCACAAATTAAGATGGAGAGGCCCGGTCCCTTTAAAAGAAAAATGGTCCGAACCAGGACCCGAACGTCAGGCCCATGTTCACTGGCGGGAGAGTATGTTGATTCTGACAAATGTACATCTGGGCGTGGCTCAAAACTAACCAGGAGGAGTTACGCAGGTTTTGGTACAGGTTTCCACTTACCAGGGTTCCATTTTGGTATCGGTTTTTTGAGCCACGGCCATCCAATAGAAACCATTGATTTAAGTCAAGTGGAACCGATCGCTTCAAACTCAGCTTGGGTTGGTTCAGCTTGGAGAAAACCTTGAGCAACCTGTGAAAGTGACCAGGCGCAAAATCTGCGGACGGTATCGGATCCCCTAATAAGGTGCCTCCACTGGGAGAGGTGTAAATGAGGCATACCTCAGACTTGCCTTTAAATAATCACGGGGCCAGAATCTGGTTCCATGTTCGTTTCAAGTCAGTCAACATTGTCACTACTTTGTGCCCTGATTTTTGTGCAAGGCCCCTTGAACATCGTTTTCGTGGGGAGGGCATCTCAAATTCAAAACTTTACATCCCTTGGTATGGGCTTGCTACAAACTGATTCTTGTTTGCAGCCCCTACTACACATGAAGAGAACCAACAAAATCCACAACAAAACAACAAGACCAACAAAAACAAACAAAAACCTGAACAGAACCAACAAACAAACACCCAACAAAACAACAAGACCAAACAAAAAAAAGAAACCTAAAAACCTGATCCAACCGTAACAAAAGGTTCCCTGGACGCCCACCCGCACCCACGCCCGGGGGGCGGCTATGGTCTCCTCCGATGCCTGGCCAGTGTCCGAGCGGGATGGTAAGTAACCAGGTTTTACATGGCTGTGCGATGTTTGAGGGTGGCACCCCAAAAAAAGGGGTTGCTTTAAAGGAAAACCTAGTATACATCGTATATATTAAGTTGGTCTACCCAAAACCATGTCGTAAGGAATTAACACGGCGGCTGAACGAGATTGTCCCTTAATGACTGACCTTCATCTACCCGGGTTTTGAGCAAGTGGCTCAGCTGGGAGTGTCTGACCCTTTGGGATCAGTCATGCCCCTCTAACGGCACATGCACCGACACGGGCTGAAGGAAAGACCATCCACCTAACCGGCGAAACTGGCCAATTTTGCGTCCAAGTCATATGTTCTGACTCGGTTCCATGTTTAGTCGATCCAATCCTAATATGTGAAACATACGTAAGGAGATGGGGAAAGGAATGTCGTTGCAAGGTTGTACCCCTACCTCTAAGCTACACAAGCCGTTGTGATGATTGGCTTTTTGGGCCGATGGAGTCTCGTGGATTCGGTTGGGAAAAATTGAGAGAAAACCTGCACGATGGCCCCCTAAACCTGATGTACAGGATCCCTTGGTACCTGAGTACGTTTTTCCTGAAGTCGACACGGGTTTGTGATTTAGGTGAACCTCAAAAAACGCTTTGGTGTCTGTTCGGCTAAGACACTCCAAAGACGTACGCTGACAAAGAAAGACACCCCCAATCGTCAAAGTACAGTCAGGATGCATCAAACCCTATGAACAATGAGGTAAACCTTGTACTGGTGCAGGTTTACGCCCATCCACAGTCCTAGCGAACATGACCTTTTGAACTCCTCGCCGACAAAGTGGCCTTCAGGGATGAGCCGTTTTCACTCTCAAAATACCCATCCTCAAATGGGTGATCGATCTTTCCCTTGGGGGGGCAGTTTTTTAGGGGAATCTGCAAGAGACAGCCCTTTTTGTAGGGTTCCCCCCATTTTCAGGCACCAAATTTTGGGGAACCCTCTGGCCAGAAAACCCCAACCCATTCCAAACGAACCACCACCCGTCACCGAGGAATCGATCGATCCGTGCCGCTCGGCCGCGTAAGACTTGAATGCTGCGTACCGGTTCTTCACCACCCTTGCGCTTGCAGAAACTTCCATTTGCCTCTTTGGCCCCGGAGAAAAAAACACAGTAGTGATAGATTCCCTTTAAAACCAACAAGGCAAAGTAAAAACACATATTCTGAAGCAAATGGAAGGAAAACGGATTCTTTGAGCAGCCCTACTAAACATGTACACAGTGAGGTGTTGCATTTTGTTCAGCGACGCCAAACCTAACACCCCACTTTCCAGGTTCCGATTGGGCACAAGCCCGCATCGCTTTGGGCAATGAAGCTTGCAGCACTTGGCCGCCTCAATTTGGCTAAGGAGGTTGCAACTCTCCTATCCAGAGTAGGTTTACAGCCCAATTCCAGCCAACAGGATCGCAGAGCTGGATAACAACGGTTTGCTCAGCGCGCTTTTTAGGGGTGGGGGTATAAACCCATGAAAATCCCTAGTGAGGGTTGCCCCTTTTCCAACCAAACTGCAGCCAGAACTTGTGAACCCGAAAAAATGAAAAAAATACATGGCCAGGCGTTTCTCCATGGACTCTCCAGGCGCGCTTTTTGGACCAAAGCGTCCGCTCGCATCGTCCGGATCCAGGCGCCGCAAGTTCGCTTTACGCGGCGTCCGCCACCTTGGCGGATCCAACTTTCACCTGGCGCGCAAGGAAGCAGTACCACGAGGCAAATCCATGTGAGCCTCCCAACCAAAAAACGGTTTAAGAAGGGCACCTAGCTGGGGGACCTAGGTGAGGCAACTTGAAACTTCCAGGTCATGTGAGGACTTGAGGCCGGAAATGTTTCTTTCCAAAACAAAGCAAACCTAGGTTTCGGTGCTTTTGGGCATGAAATGAAGCTCACAGGGTTGATCAACACTCCCCTTCCGCCCCGAAATTACGATGGCTATAGTTTTCCTCGGTTGGATCATCTTTCTTGTGGCTTTCAATGGTCATCCCGAATCCAAGCCCTACATACAGTAGGCTCACGGAAGTGAAGCGTGGGTTCCCAATGTCGTTGAATTGGACCAAGAGTTTGTGCGGGTCACCTGCATAATGAGACATGAACATGTCTGTTCTGTTGCGGTTCCTGATGTGTTGCCAGTGGCCTTAGTATGGGCGGAAATGTGACCATGGGCAAGCCTGCCATGCTGTTGCCCTTAGGTGTACGCGGTTTTACGCAGGGATACCGGGATACGCCTTTGGCGGATTTCCGTAACCATAATTAAGTCCGGAAACTTGGTAACGAACCATCCCAACCCTTCTCTTCACCCACTTGTTTCAACGGATTCCCGCCGTTCACACCGTTCCTGGTGTGGCACTCTCGGTGGAAAGCATACGAACTTTCACGAAGCAAGTCCCTCGAATGTATCTTTTGAAGCTCTCTCCTTTGGGGAAATAAAGTTCCCGCATAAAACAGTCCCACTATTTGGGCATGTGTCGAACAGGGGGATCTAAATTACAAAAAATGGTGGTTTGCCTTCGGCTTCCCTTCAAACCCGAAATCCATTATTGGTTTCCCTTCAAATCGCAAACCCACCCAAAAAAGAGGACCGAGTAACTCGAAACAAAACACACACACACACACCATTCACAAAAAGGGTTGTCTCGGATACCTCCTACATGGCTCTCCTCGGACTCCAACCCTGGGGGTCATGAGCGGGACTTAAGAGGGTGGCACCAGTGTCGCTCAACTGCGAGCCTAGGTCCTCCAGATTTGAGAGCTTAGAATAAGTTGGTACCGTTTCTTTTTTCAGGACGTCTATTGTAGTTCGGGAACCCTCCCCCGACAAAAAGGGTGAGAAAGGGCACTACTGGGGGACCTAGTCTATCCAGAGCAGAAACCTGTAAGGGTGCTGCTCAAGGACCATGGCGCAGCAATTCAAGCAGTTTTCCATGGTTTCGGGTTGCTTTTCGTATATTTGTCAAACTCTGCACTTGGGCCAAGGTCAAGATATCTATCTATCGATCTATCTAGCTATCTATCTAATTGTCCTGTCTCTCTATCTATTTGTCTCTGTCTATCTATCTATCTATCTATCTGTCTGTCTGCCTGCCTGCCTGCCTGCCTGCCTGCCTGCCTGTCTGTCTGTCTGCCTGTCTGTCTGTCTGTCTGTCTATCTGTCTCTCTATCTCTCTATCTCTCTGTCTCTCAATCTCTCGATCTCTCTATCTCTCGATCTCTCGATCTCTCTATCTCTCTATCTCTCTATCTCTCTATCTCTCTATCTCTCTATCTCTCTATCTCTCTATCTCTCTATCTCTCGATCTCTCGATCTCTCGATCTCTCGATCTCTCTCTCTCGATCTCTCCATCTCTCCATCCATCTCTCGATCTCTCGATCTATCTATCTATCTATCAATCTATCAATCTATGTTGCTTGTTATCTACAGATCAATCGATGGCTGCCAGCGGCAACGACTAAAACCAGGTCCAAGCACAGACCAACTCTGTTCCCAAACCATGGCATTGTAGAAAACAACAATGACTTCCGCGGCCCCCGAGAAAGAACAGACCCAAAAGAAGAAACACACACAACTAGCTGCGCAGACTCTGGCAAGCTTGAAATTTGGTCAGCGAAGGAAAGCTGAATGAACACATATCAAGTTTCGACACGTGTCTTGACCGATGTCAGTGGTTATTTGCCACATCCCTGAGACATGTTGCAAGAAATCATCCTTCATGCAACGCGAGCTGTTTGGGCAGAGGATCTAAATCACTCGTACTCGTCCCAGCAGCGAGCGAAACCATGTTCACGAAAACCTGCACCACTTGACCAGTCTCTTCTACCAGTTGAGAACTGCTGCAAGGGTTCATGACTGCGAGCTTCCAGAGCATGACGTGATGAAGTTCCCAAACCGTGGTAAAAGAACAGAATCAACCACAACGACGAAATACTCAACTAGCTCCACAGACTCTAGCACTAAACAAGGGTTATCAGACCACGGAATCGAGGGATTCCAGCGTTGTGCGAATCAAGGGCCTGCCCCGGCAAATCTGCATGGAGCCCCAAAGTCCTATTTAGAGGAGCCTCCTTTTGTAAGACCCCTTTTTGGGGCTCCGAGACTCCTTTTTGAGGCTCCAAGACCCCTTTTTTTTGCTCCAAGACCCCTTTTTGGGGCTCCGTGTTACTTCGTAGGGGAGTACTACCAAAAACAACTCAAGTTTTGCTTGCCGTTAACAACCTTACCTTTTTCTCCGGGGCCTTGAGTGATTCACAGCCTGTTGGTTTGCCCCGGAAACAAGACCACATACAAACAAAATAACAACAGACCTGCCTTAAAAAGACTGTCCAGTCAGGGCAAAGATGAAGATAGCAAATAGTATCAAAGACAGCAAGACAAACTGGTCGCACAGCAAGACAAACTGGTCGCACATGTGCGACATCAACACATGATCTTCAACAAAAACAGTATTGCATTGTTAGAGCATGCAACTTAGAGACATGTACTATTGGAGGGCACTCACTCTTTCAAGTTTCATGTGTCTTTTCCAGGAAGTACAGCTAAATGTGCATCCTGTCAAAACCAATGCTTCCAAACGTACTTAGCTGGTCACCGGGCCTGCGTGAAGCAACCACTTAGATGTTCTCAAAGTCAGCTGAGCATTCATCCCCCGTCTAACCCTGCTGCAATGTCTTGCAATCTGGGTTCCCAAGCACTTTGCCCTTTTTCCAAACCATCTCACAGCTATCCATACTTGCCCCGCTCGCAAACAATATGAGACTTTGTGCATTGTCTTTCAGGAAGGAGAAGCCAGCTTGCTACTGTGGGGGCAAAATCCACTTCGCACCAGTTGGAAGGTGGTTTATCAACCAGTATTCAAATCGGGTTCCATCCATCCCCCGTGCGTTTTGTGGATATCCTCCATCCACAGTGTAAACTGAGCAAATGTGGGTCAGTCATGCGGTTTCAGGTCAAAGCCACTGTTTCAAAGTCATTAATTTCAATGTGACGTGTTTCGAAGTCACTTGTTTCAAGGTCACTTGTTTCAAAGTCACTTGTTTCAAAGTCACTTGTTTCAAAGCCAGTTGTTTCAAAGTTACTTGTTTCAAAGCCACTTGCTTCATCGTCACTTGTTTCAAAGTCACTTGTGTCAAAGTCACTTGTTTCAAAGCCACGTGTCTCAAAGTCACTTCTGTTCAAGTCACTTGTTTCAAAGTCACTTGTTTCAAAGCCACTTGTTTCAAAGTCATTAATCTCAATGTGACGTGTTTCAAAGCCACTTGTTTCAAAGTCACTTGCTTCAATTTTACTTGTTTCAAAGTCACTTGTTTCAAAGCCACTTGTTTCAAACTGGCTTGTTTCAAAGCCACTTGTTTCAAACTGGCTTGTTTCAAAGCCCCTTGTTTCAATTGTTTCAAAGTCACTTGTCTCAAAGCCACTTGTTTCAAAGTCACTTGTTTCAAAGCCACGTGTCTCAAAGTCACTTGCTTCCAAGAATCTTCTGTCAAAGCCACTTGTTTCAAAACCACTTGCTTCAAAGTCACTTGTTTCAAAGTCACTTATTTTAAAGCCACTTGTTTCAAAGTCACCTGTTTCAAAGCTACTTGTTTCAAAGTCACTTTTTTCAAAGCCACTTGTTTCAAAGGCACTTGCTTCAAAGCCACTTGATTCAAAGCCACTTGTTTCAAAGCCACTTGTTTCAAAGTCACTTGTTTCAAAGTCACTTCTTTCAAAGTCACTTCTTTCAAAGTCACCTGTTTCAAAGTCACTTGTTTCAATGAATCTTCTACCAAAAGCCACTTGTTTCTCACGTCATGTTGATAGCCCCAACCGTCGCCCGCCTTAAGCCCCTTGGGCGGAGTGGGCGGGTACCTCAGTCAGGTGGCCGGAAGCTTGCCTGCCATCGTTCCTGAAACATGTGGGGGTTTGATTGTCTAGATCCCTTTGCTCACTTGCCACTTAGGGACCGAGAAGGAAACGGTCAACCTTTTGGGGCCATGACGAAACCTGGGTACCAAAACGGGGAAAGTAAAAGGACAAAAGATCAGCTTCTAGGTTTTTGAGTAGAGAGCTGAGAATAAGGGTACCAACTTTTCTCTGTAGCCTATTTTCGTAGGGGAACCCTCCCCCAAAAAAGGGCAAAAAACCAGTTGTAGTAATTGTTGCGAAATCTATCCGTTTCGCACCACCAATATCAGAAGCCGTGGTTTCTGGATTGATTTCACTGTCAATACCAACGAGCGTTGTGGTTTCAATCATGGTTTCGGAGTGGTGAAGGATTTGGTCCATCCACAGTAGTTTCCCTTTAAAACCAACAGAACAAAAGGAATAATGATATATTATATAATCATATTTCTAGGGGTTGATTCCTTGTCCATTCTTTGGGAAACCATCGTTCTTTTCAAAACCCGATCGCCATTTCTTTCCAGGTGTCCAAAGGAATTTTCGAAAAATGATCCCTGGAAAGAATAGGGAAGGAATCCTTACAAAACAGGGTGCGCGTGTATGTGGACGACTGGAGTCTCCGGTCATACCGAAATCAACATGGTTGGTTGTTACTCAAAAGAAATGGGCGACCCCTTTGGGGGGTTGCTCAATATTCTTGGCCCCCAAATGATCTGCCCATGTGGGAAAGATATGTTTATTGGTTTTCCCCAAGATCATCCCATGTAAAGGACCTTGTGATCAACCCCCATTTTTGAAGGGTCCTGGAGACTGGACCAGGTGCACGTTTTGTGAAGCTACCTTTTTCACCGAAGAGCCTGGCAAACACGCAGCTTTCCCATCCAGTCAAAGCCCCAACCAAACTGGGGTTCTTGCATAATACACCTGAGCAAAACCACCCAACTCACGCGGAATATGTCGTGTTTGACATGGCCAACAAAACTATGCGTCAAAATAGGGGCGCCCAACATATCGCAAGTCCTCCGTGCAAGTTGCTCTGTGCAAGTGCTCTTGGCGAGTGCGCAGCTTTTTGGTAGACCAACCTCAAGAAGGCACCCTCAAACAACGCTAACCAGGCCAAATTGTATCTGTGACGAGCCTTGTCGAACCGATTGTTACCCCTGGCCCATACCCAACAAAACCCAAGCATGTTCGGTTACTTTCTGAGTAGAACCCCCTCGACCAAACTGAGCCCAAAAAACAACTTCAAACGAAGAACAACCAAGCCATAAACGCAACCAGCCAGCCATCAATAACCAACCAACACAACAACTCAATCAACAAATTGAATCAAACAGTTCAACGAGCGAACCAATCCACCGACCGACCAAGCAACCAAGCCACCAAGCAACCAAGCAACCAAGCGACCGAACAACCGACCAACCGACCAGCCAAGCAACCAAGCAGCAGAGCAACCAAGCAACCAACCAACATCAACCAATTCCGACTAACTTCAACCAAACAACTCACAAAACCCACGAAAACTGGTCTGCAAACAACTTAGCCCCCCCACCCCACCCACCAAAAAGAAAAACAAATCGCCGTTTTCGCCCGCCCCCTTCCCCCCTGCAACGCCACCTTTGTCCTTCGCCCCACCCTCCTCCTCCGGTCAGGTCAAAGCGGCTTCGCGGCCTTTATGGCTTTGGCAAGCTTCCAGGCCAGCGGCTTCTTGGAATACTTGGGGCCCTCGGCAAACGAACTTCGCCGGCCAGGTAAACCTTGGTTGGGTGGGGGGGGTGAGGCCCACTGCCGGGGTGCCTATCCCAGAAGGGAACTGGTACCCTGTGGTAGTAGAGGTCGTTGATTTGGTCCCTGGATCTATTCCGGAGAGAGTCCAATATGCCAATATGGAGGATTGGAGGATGGATTGACCCTGGTGGCTTGTGTTGACTGTGAATCCTGTGAAGCGGTCTGCAAGCCTTTTTATCACTGTACCATGAGTCGAATGACTGTACAAATGACTTGAAGGGCCTTGAGCCATCATATGTCAGCGGAGTCTGTGAATAGGTCAATGTGCGACAAAAAGCAACACAAAACAGACACACATTTCTTTTGACCTTTCATACCAAAGTGTGTGATTGGCCTCTTGGCCTTGCGTGCCGTAGCCATATTTGAAAGTGCCGTAGCCATATATTGTTACAATGATTCATCCAATTTTGGCGCGGATGATTTGTCCTGTGCGCAAGATGGAAAACAGTCTGTACTGATTTTGTGAGATACCTAGATGTATCGAACAGGTGATGCACAACGCTATGTACATGCGGGACGACTGTGAAACTATTGATCTCTCACTGAATAGTCTTGTTGGCGGTGAGGATCAATCTGGTTGTAGTTCGTAGTGTCGATCGTGGGAGTCTTCTCAGTCGGTCGGATAAGTGCCAAAGGTGGCTGCTTCATCAAGTGATCAGCGGTACCACCGCCAGCTGCTGTCGGATTTGCCATAGACTCCATAATCATTCCAGGTCGAGTCGCCATAGTCTTTCCATTGCTTTGGATTGCCCCAGTACTGCTTGTTGTACTCCTTGTACTCTTGCTGAGTCCAGGATTGCTTCTTCTTGAGGTGCTCCTTGGATCTCTCAAAGTTTCGTTGCCTGGCGGCAGATCTGCTGCGGATGTAGACCATCAGCGGACTGTGCGAGTCGGAATCTTGTGAGCCATTCATGGTTAACATATCGTTGTTCACGTGCTTGAAGCGTTCCGCGGATGAGACCTGATAGTCGAAAATGGCAGACGTTGGATCGTTCCGCATGGCTTCCAGTTGTTCATCTCTCATGGCGTTCATCTCTTCTTTCCGGAAAACCTGCTGGATATTCGTTTTGCCCCATCCAAACACGAATGTCATCATCACATCCGGGAATGTTCGGTCATACCCTGATCCAGTCTTCATGTATAGGTGATGACGGACAATGGATTTTAGCGTGCATGAAGTCTCCATTGCATACTCCATTCTGTCCACGAGCGGCAGATTCTCCGTTTCATTCCACAATCTCTGATATTCCTTCATGAGGATATTCATGACACCTTTGGCCGGATTGAAGAAGTGCTGGAGTCTGCTGTAGGTATTCGCGGATTTGTTGGCGTCTCCGGTGATCGCATCACACGGGTACAATGTCACGAGTGGCAGGATTTCGTTCTGAAGATCTTCCCGTGCTGCTCCATGGCTGATTGATGGATGAATGTGGAAAACTCCAATGGTAGCAAACGGGAGGTCTGCCCTCGTTACGTGGCGGCTGTCAAACTCGAGGAGTGATTTGTTGGATGATTTTGGGAGCATACTACGACACTCGTCACTCTGCTCGATGTGGAGAACGACAATCTTTTTGTTACGTCCGTGTCCTTGGACAGTGGTGCGTGGTGGCAATCTCGGTCCGATGTACTTCTTGGATTCAGTAAACATGGATGGTCCCGTAGTTGCCAAGCAGTCCGAGGTCGGAATGTCGTATTCAGGATCAGTGCAATTTACCTCGGTTCCGAAGAAACATCTGAACATCCCGAATGTGGTTCCCCAATTCTGACTCTTTGTGGAAATGTGTCTTGCCAATAGTTCCACTCTTGCGGAAGGTCCGCCGCGGACAAAGCATGCAATTGGTCTGGATCTTGATAACGATGCTCTTGTACCCGAATCGGATGGCTTGATGAGTTCTCTGGATTTGTCATCTTGAGGACTAAGGAATGCGGCTGCTTCATTGAGGCATAAGATGTGTGCGCTGTTCTGCATCATCATCTTCACGATTGGTCTCAAAATAGTAATGAGCAAGAAGGACGCCGAGGAAGAGCTTGTGGAGACCAAAAAGAACTTCCTCCATTTCATGGAGAAGTACTACAAGGATCCAAGAACAGCTCATCCTAAATTGACAGAATGCGAAAGAGCCTCATTGGCACACGTCGATCCCGATGTCAACCTCGAAGAAGAAGAGTTCTATTTCCGCCATCGAGGAGAATGTCCCACCATGGACGAGTACCGGAAGGCACAGCCAGTATCAGGATATCCGATTAAGCTTCCACTTGGACTGAAGAAGCTTAGATCACATGACAACCCAGAAGTCATTCGAGCATTCGCCGACATCCTGGGATCGCTGATGCAGCCGACCGACCGTCCCTCTGTGGACCATCTCAAGACGCATGAGTTCACCTCATCCCTGACGATCAGCATGCTTACTATGAACCATGGAAACCTCACGAGGAATCCAAAGCTGGACGGCAGGGAGGTTTACAACATGGCGATGAAGGACCGGTAGATCTGTTTGAGTTCCTGGATGAACTCGTCTAGGTTCTCAGGATTTGGATACTCCGTGGTGACCTTTGGCTTGACGGATCTCTCCCCGGAAATTTCCATGTTCTCCTCTTCAACCTCGTCCTGATCGGTGGAGCGCCGTCGCTTCTTGGTCTCTGTGGATGTATCTTCTTCAGACCTTTCCTTGTTTTGGTGGTCATTCTTCACATGTTTGAAGAAGGCATCGGCGAACTCTTGGATCTTGCTGTTGTACATCTCAATGTCTTCACGACCGAGATTTTTCTTCATGATCCAACTGTTACTCATTATGATGGTTCCCTCGGGATCAAATGCTGTAACAATGTTCCTCGCCTCGATGGTTTGATCTGTCAATGCTGTTGGCTCTTCGGAGAGTCGGATGTCGTAGTCCTGGTCCTTGAGGAATGCCAGGATCAACAAAGCATCTCTTCCTGTTGGCACATGTGTCAATGCGGCTTCTGACGCTTCGTCATCAAGGATAACGTCGTCGATGCATGCCATGTGGATGCATGTGCACTCTCCCCGAAGGGTTCGACTGGGATCTCCCAGATTTCAGCCCGCGCTCCATGATGTTGATCAGACTTTCTCCATATGTAGCATGGAACATGAAAGTGATGGGCTTCTTCGCGAACGGCTTGATCTTCCTCTCTTCTTCAATGGATTGAGGCGCCGGCCTTCGCATTCTGGACTTTGCCTGAGCTGTGCCATCGTCTTCATGGGGCGCGTCTGATCTTGACGGATGCGGACTTGGAGGAATGGATTCCGTTGGAAGATCATAGTCCGGTTCTTCTTGGCGAGGCTCACTCTTCTGTTCGGAGTACAGGGGTCGTCCAAAAGATTGGAGATCGACTTGTCGTGTATGACCGCTGCTGCATCTCACGTAGAACTCCATGTCTGGATGATTGAGGAATTCCTTGCCATTAGGCCGGAGTGCATCGTATGCGGATCTGGAGTTGAGATTGTCGATCCATCGATTTCTTGGACCAATGTCTCCCCTTGCCTTGCGCTCATTGTATGACCCGTCCACGGATGGATACACGAACGCAATCTCGAAACGTGCCTTTCCATAGTTCGGGAACATAGCCATCAAGAGAAGTCCTGGCTTATTGCCCATGAAGTTCCTGGCATGCGTAATGCAGGTCAATGCATCGTAGAGCTCAGCGGATCCATCAGGACCCATGTCCACTTGTCGTTTGCATTCTCTGTGTTGGCCTTGCCTTGGATCGTGTCGAAAACATCCGGAAAACAATCTGCTCATCCTCTCGATTCGCCAGAGGATGAGGTCGGTGATCTGTGTGGCCTTGGATGGATCCATGTGGAAGTATTTGCACACCTGCTCAACGTTCTGGACGGTCTTCTCGAGATCGACATGGCGGTTGTGACATACCATCGGAATGATGTCTGTTCCGAAAACTTCTTGCTGAGCATTGGTATAGCAGCAAATGCTGTAGACCTTCTTGATGAAGTCCATGTATTGTTTCTCTGCATATGGACCTTCACCTTGAAGCGTTGGCTTCCAGTAATCATTGAATCTGGCCTTCAACCAGAATACCTTGGCTCCATGTTGTCGTTCATGCTCAGGGGTGAAGTGGAATTCAGGGTTCGTCTCGAGGATGGTTGAGCACTCCTTGTAGTATCCGTACACGAAATTGAGGAATTTAGAATTCCCGAAAGGTCCTGGATGTACGGATTCCCTCTGGAGGCTGATGTCCGTATCTGATCCATCTGGTACATGCCACCGGTCGTTGGATGTGAGAGTTGGCCGCATCGCTGGTCGCCTTGGAAGCGCAGGTCGATCACCAGGATGATTGTCGGATTCTGTCTCCTCATCCAGGATGTTCTTAGGCGCTGGCTTCATCTTTGACATACGCCTTAGTGTTGTTGGTGGTGACTTTGGAACCAGTTTTGGATGTGGCATCGCCTTCGGCGTTGGATTTCCTGCGAGAGGTTGCTCTTCGTCATCCAGGTCATCGTCGTTGTCGGTATCGCGGTCATAATCAACCTGCTCCATGTTGACGTTATCTGGTTGTTGAGAGGTGGATGGATTCTCATCGGCGACCTGCTCCATGGGGCAGTCGGATGTCTCATCTTCCTCATCACGAGCAGGGGATTCCTTCAAAGGAGATGCCCGTCTCTTCACCAGCGGCTTCGGTGAAGGAGCCGCAGTGCTGGATTGTCCGAAGATCACGTTGGGAAACGGCATGTCTTCGAGGTGATCCAGCATACACGATCGCAAAGGTCGGAATGGTTGTAAACCGAAAGTGGCTGCGGATGCAGACACATATTTCTTGAGATTCAAAATGGGTCAAGTGCAAAAACACGCATCACGGATTTGAGGAATTGAAAATGTGCAAAATGAAAAACTCATGCATCAGAATTCTTGGACATGCGGATCACGCCCAGGTTCCCCAATAAGCAAACATGGATTCTGCTA